AAGATTGTAGAATGCATTCTGTTGTTTAGCTTTCATTAGTCCTCATTTCGAGGGAGTGAGTTTGGGGTGTTCCGCTTCAGAATGCCTCAGTGTGATGGACATTTCCACCTTCATATCCCAGGGAGACAGGAGAGCCAGCAGCGGGTCGGCTATGTCACATGTCACGGCAGCCCTTTGGTGTCACTGTATGAAGTGGGTAGTCACCTCGGGGAGGGGAAAGGGTCCCCAGCCGCGCAGAGCCCCCCAGGCAGCGGCTTCTGGCGGGCCATGGAGGCATCAGAGCCCAGACTCTGTGCTCTCAGTAGAAGGTGGAAGGTGCTTTCACCTGGGCCTGTGAAAGAGCTGCTTGCTTCTTTCTCGCGGCCCTGAAAGGAAAACAACCTTCCTTCCCAGCAGCCCCCAGAAAGGCAGTCTAATCAGTCATAATGGACTTGCCTCTACCCGGCCTTCCCGCAGGGAGCCCTGCGGATCACAGGGGCCTATTGTGAGGAGAGAAGAAGGACGCATTGAGGCAGGCGCCAGGCAACGGGGCACGAAGGAAACACTTAAGCAAGGGCCCTTAATTTTTATAGAGCTTCCCAGGACCATGTTTCACAGTCTCCTCCTGGGAGCCGGGCCTCATGCTGGCTGCAGACCCTGCGTGGTGTCCTGGGAGCTGAGGCTGGGCAAGCCAAAGGCAGTCACTGACCTTGAAGGGGAACGGAGAAGTGGCCGAAGGCCGGCTGTCTGTCCTTCGCTCGGCCTCTGGCTGGCACGATGCACTGTTGATTACAAAGCTTCTGTAAAACCACCGTTTCTCCGCTGGTCGCCTTCAGAGAAAGCACCCCCTAAACTCTGCCCACTTTCAGAGATGCTTTAAACAGCCACCCCTTTGGCATTCAGGGCCCAGACTTATGTAAGTGCTTCGGGACAGCGTTCAGAGATGTCTTCCACAGATTGTGATTTGGCAGAAGCCGTGCTTTTGCCTCAGTCCTGCTTTGAAGTGGAAATGTGTCTTGCTGGTCCTGGGTGTGGCCCCTCCTGTCTGCATGGGGCAGGGTTTATCTGCTCCCGGAGCACCAGTGAGCGGATGAGTTATTGCCCTGGCCCTTATGTGTGGTGCTCAGGGCCTCTAGCCGGTGCACCTCTCTAAGCTTGGTTTGTAGAGCTTCCAGGCCAGTCCGTGTGGGGATATCATGTTGTACTGCCAGGCCCAGATCAGAAGCTTAGAGCTTCAAGATATAGAGTGAGAGGATTTTTATTAGCAATGGAAACCTTCAATGAAACTCTTTTTCCAAAAGAAATCTTACCAGGAAACTCGTGTAACCAAGCAGAGCTGGAAACGTGAGGATACGAATCCTGAATCCTGAGAACCTCTCTCATTTGTGCTTTTTCTCTCCCGGCCAAGCCCCCATTCCAGGAGTTTCCCGAGTATTCTTCTGTGACCCTCAAGGCTTCCCAGAACAGGCCATGAACACCACGGGTGTGATCCCAGGCTCTCAGATCCACGGATGTTAAACCCAAAGTCCAGGGAGGTTCCCTGAGTCACCCCAGATCGCTGAGGGGCAGTGGCAGAGCCGCGACTTACGACCCAGGTTTTGTGGTCCCCGTTTAATACTCCATGTCGTTCCAGTTCTGCCCTCGTCTCCCCTCACCCCATCAATGTTAGAGCTTTACATGCAAAGAGGCCCAGCTGTATTTATTAGGACCCCCCCCCAGGGCGTGGGGGATGGTAGCTGTGCCAGCCACCTGAGGTCTTCTCCGGCGTCCCAGCCTGAGCATTGTCACTTTACACCAGGAGTCAGGACCCTTTTCTCTGCCCAGGGCCATTTGGATATTTATAACATCATTCTTGGACCATACAAAACTATCCACTTAAAAATTTGCCTGCTCTATTTTGGTCAAACATTTCATTAACTCACCTCTAATGACTTGGCAGGGACAGACTAAATGACTTTGTGGGCCTTATACGGCCCGAGGGCTGGGCATTCCCCAGCAGTAGACATATTTTTACAGTAGGGTAGCTACTTCTCCAGGGATTCTACTTTTATTTTTCTGCTGGTTGACTGCATTTCTGGTGGCCCTGGCTGCTGGAGTGGAAGTCTCACTCCCGATGGAGTGGCCAGTGCCCATCAGGGCTCCTCTTCTGTCTGCTACCTACCCCCCCCCCCCACTTCCTGTGGCCACATCGCTTCCGGTCACTGCCTTCCCAGCTCCTGCAGTGGCTACCCTGTATTCGTACAGGAGATCGGTGTCAGTGTTAGTGGGGGATTGGGAAATACCAGTGAATATAAAAGTCGAGAAATGTCAGGTTTCAGTTGCCATAGTACAATTTTCTTTTCACTTAAAGAAAGTTTTCAGATCATCTGTTCTCTGGCCTTGGTTGGCAAATGGACATGAAATGCAGCAAACTATAACATGCAATAAATGTGCGTGCAGACATGCTCCAGCTCTGACGTTCTTTTGCCGAAGGCCCAGGTCCATCCCCAGTGTGTGGGTTCTGGAAATCACTGACAGTCAGTGGTCTTGTTCCTTTCATCCTCACCGACTTCTGAAACGAGGCCAGCTGCCAAGGGGAGAAGCAGCACGTCCGGCCGTGCCTGTCCTGTTTGCAGTGTGTGTGTGGGGAGGTCCAGATGTGATCTCTGAGCCAAGACGATGTTCCTCTGTTGTGGACATGACTTTTCCCAACCTTTTCCCAAGCAGCAAGCATGCCTCCTGGCCCCTACCCCCTGTCTCCTTCCCCCATGATCGGAGTGTACACCTATTTAATGATTGCTCAAGGGGCATAGAAACAAATGTGGATCTGGTGTGCACGCTTCCTCTCCATCAGCAGGGCTGAGGGGCTTCTGGTCTGCTGTCCCTCTGGCACAGGGTCAGAGACGCCACTCCGAGTCCATTGGCAGAGATTGGCAGCAGTGCAGTGAGCAGGCCTTGACGGGCAGGGCTGGATGGAGCAGAGCGAAGGGGCCCTTCTGGTTCTTACAGCGGGCACAGAAAGTGGTCAGTCAGGTCCTCTGTCAAGGTTTCCTGAGGCTGGGATCTCTGTTGGCAAATGTTGTTTTGTGCATTTGGGTTCTTTTCATCACGTTCGTAGCAGCTGTAAATTAGAACATGACTTTTCCCAAGCAGCAAGCATGCCTTCTGGCCCCCGCCCCCTGTCTCCTTCCCCATGATCAGAGTATGCACCCATTTAATGATTGCTCAAGGTGTGTGTGTGTGTGTGTGTGTGTGTGTGTGTGTAAAGATTAAAGGTATTTCTGATTCATAACACATGTTCTCAGCATGAATTTGTCTGTTGACAGAATGAATGATTTCTAAAGAAATGTGTGTGTGTGTATATATATATATATATATATATATATATATATATATATATATTTTCAAAGCTCTTCCTAATGTCTTTTTCAGTCCTGCCTTCCAGGCTAGGACAATGATTTTGGGGATCTTTACCCAACGTGCAGTGGATCTATCATTGCTTGTTCTGGGTTCGATGCCATCTCTTCTTGTCCACAGGCTACCAGGGGTGTGTTTTGTTAGTACCCACATGTGCTTCCCTCAGCCCTATAACATTCCGGACACAATTCCCGATTACTTGGGAATTACCTTATTCCTGTAGCTGTGCAGGGTGGGTGGACCAATCCCTGCTCCTTTCCTATAATACCCAGTTAATAGTAACTGTTTCTTTATGTGTGTTGTTATAAATTCGAGGTTGAGTGAATTGGAGAGTTAATGATCCAGCTCTCCAGTTTACAACTGGTAGTTAGGGCTTAGGATTTAATCAGCTAGTCCAGTAATTTTCAACCTTTTCTCTCTCATGGCACACATTAACTAATTACTAAAATTCTTCAGCACACCAAAACAATATATATATATTGCTAATCTCACAAAAAAATGGGGGGGGGAGTACAATTAGATCCTTTCACACAGATGGCTATTGCTGTGTTAGCTATTGCCGTTTTTATTTTTATTTGACAACTTAAGGGAAAAGAGGTCAGTGCCCCTGATTAAATAGTTAGCTATTGCATGTTTTAAAAATTCTTGCAGCACACCTGTTGAAAATTGCTGAGCTGGTCTAATATTGTATAAGCTACTGTTTCTGAAATGCTGGTCCAACAACCATGAGGATGTTTTTCTCAATAATCTCTTTCTAAAATGTGTTTTTATTGATTTTAGAGAGATAGGAAGGGAGAGGGAGAGAACATGGATGAGAGAAATATGGATGAGAGAAACACTGATCAGTGCCTCCTGGGGATTGAATCTGTGCCTTGACCATGAAGTGAAACAGCGACCTCTCAGTATTGTAGCTTATGCACTAAAATTACTTAATTGGATTAGACATGATATAAAAAATTTGAATTTGTTTTTCAAGGAATTTTTAAATACAAAATTTTTAAGATCTCTTAATATGTGTGGTCCTGGTATTTCTATAAAATGGAAAACCCTGGTGTTTTTTAAAAAATTACCATAAACAACATTCAGGTATCCTGAATGCAGGTTAAAAAAGTTGGTGGGGATGAAACAAGTTTGGCTCAGTGGATAGAGCGTTGACCTGCAGACTGAAAGGTCCCAGGTTTGATTCGGGTCAAGGGCATGTATCTTTGTTGCCAGCACATCCCCAGTAGGGGGTGTGTAAGAGGCAGCTGATCGATGATTCTCTCTCATCGATGTTTCTAACTCTCTATCCCTCTCTCTTCCTCTCTGTGAAAAATCAATAAAATAAAAAATAAAAAAATAAAAAAAGTTGGTGGGTCATGCAAAGATAACCCAGGAAAGAACACATTTGATATGGACTTCAGAGTATCACGAGAACTTGCAAAGGAAACCTAGGATCAGTGAGGGTGCTGGCTCAGGTTGCTATTTGTGAGTTAACTGGCGTGGAAGAAAAGTAAATAGAGTGTGAGAGAGGAAAAAAAAAATAGGTATTCTGGAAATGATTATTAATGCTAAAATTTCTGCATCTAATTTTGGGATGCTTATGTTTGGATTTTCATATGCATGATGAAAATGTGTGTTTTCAGGTTTGTGGAGAAAAGCAGCGCTTTGAGAAGTTGATGGAACATTTCAGGAATGAAGACAATAATATCGATTTTATGGTGAGCTATTTTTGTACTACATGCAAAAAAACAAAAAAAAACAAACTCAATTTCAGCACTTAGCCCTAAACCCATTGATATTTATATGTAGTATACATCCATATGTATGAGTATGTTACACAGGATAGGAAATTGAGCATAATATGCTACAGATCCAATCTAGACTGTCCCTCTTAATCTGTATTTTCCCCTGGATGGCAGTGTTTCTAGTTTTATTCCTTCTGTACACTCTATAGTACAAGCCGAACGTTCTGGTTATTTACAGCAGATGAAGCGTGAAGCATGCACCTGGGTAAAGGGAGGTAACGTGCATGGTGCATATGCTGCAGTCTCTAATGTCACTGTCAGTGGTGCCGCATGGGAATCCTTAGGGCAGAAGCAAGAATCGGACCATTTTGCCTTCTGTACACATTAGCCCTTCTCTAGACAAAATCCCCAAGACTGAAGTGCTTTGGTTTGTGGAATTGACTGTATATATTCCCCACATTAATGTACAGCCATGATTCTCCCTCCCCTCCCCCTCCCCCTCTCGATCTCTTTCCTGCTCTGGTAATTCTGTGACGGCATACCCACACTGCAGATCCACTTACGGGAAAATCCCATGCAACAGCGTGGAGCTCAGCAGGCTGTCATCTTGCAGAACTAAGAGTAAGAGGAGTGTGAGCACTTCTGAATCCATATGCCTAAGGCCCAATCCTGGACTGAAGGTGGATTCCACTACAGAGAATTTCCTGAGTCAGCTTCCTCTGGAGGGCACCCAGATTGGCAGGCCTTCTTTGACCTATTCCAGGAGCTGCAGGGAGCTGCCGAACCCTAGAGGTCCTCACCTGGTCATCTCCCAGGTCCCTGCCAGCCCGGAGCACACATCCCAGTCAGGCCCGACATCGTCGAGTCTCCTGAGCCTGTGCTCGGACGCCAGGCAGGGTTTTCCTTGGAATTGCTTCAGTGAGTGTAAAATATGAAACATAGCTTTATGGATTTCTAGCCTTTTTTATGTATAAATTTTTTTTTACTTAAATTGAATATACATCATGGCCCTCAGCCTCTTCCAAAATCAGTGAGAAAGATGGAATCTTTTACAGAGGTTTTCTGTTCCAGTTCTCCACATCATTGCCTGTTCTGTTACATGTGGCTCGTATGTACAGGATCTCTCTGCCTTTTGAGTTTCTGCTAAAATTACTCTAAGTCCTCTAAAACACCTGCAGTGTTTACAAAGGAGAGCGTGTTTCCTGTGAGCACATTCATTCACTTGCCCATGCATCCAGGAACCTTATATGGAGGCTGCTAGTAAATGGGTGCTATGTGCTCGATGCATGCTTCACCTCACAAGCGGTTGCCTCTCAGGCATGTCGTAAAACTCAACAGATCATTTAGACCTGCTTTCAGAAGGGAAGTGGAAAGATGCCAAGTATTTTTCCTCCAGAAAATGAGGCTTTTCATAAACTGCAATTAAGGGGCCTAACCTCCCAAAACAAAACAAAACAAAACAAAAAAAAGCAAATCTTCTTTAGCTCATTTACCCACTGCCCCTGAAGTCACTTTAAAAAAAAAAATATATATATATATATTTTATTGATTTTTTACAGAGAGGAAGAGAGAGGGATAGAGAGTTAGAAACATCAATGAGAGAGAATCATCGATCAGCTGCCTCTTGCACACCCCCCATCGGGGATGTGCCCACAACCAAGGTACATGCCCTTGCCCGGAATCGAACCTGACGAACCTGGGACCTTTCTGTCCGCAGGCCGACGCTCTATCCACTGAGCCAAACCGGTCCCGGCTGAAGTCACTTTTTAATTAACTGCCATAGTGTCTCCTTGTCACCAAGAGCGGATATCCAATGCATTAAATACTCCAAGAAGAATCTAATGGGACAAAAAAATAATTTTGAAAAGAGAAAGAAAAGGAGGTTTTGGGGGGGAGAGGAAGGGTGAGGTGGTTTTCGGAGAAAACATGGATCTGGTTCCCATAATCATCTTACCTCCTCGCAGGTTTAACTATGGAGGGAAAGCATTAGTGGGATATTTCCACCATAAATAAACTGACTGTCACTATTAAAAGCAAAATAGATCTGTTGAACTCTATGCTGTTTTTACCAAACTGGGGGCTGGTTTCTCTCTGAGGCTGGTCTCAGGGCCACTGATGCCGTTGTGGGCAGAAAGCAGTGAATCCAAGACTTGTATGGATGGAACCCCGTTCCTTGTTCAAAGTGGAAAGATAGGTCAGGGATCTTGAGATGATCCTGTTGGGGTGATGGGGCCCACAGTGAGGTTTCATAAGTGATGATAATCACCTGTGATTATAGGAGATTTGAATGCTTTTCTTTGTAACAACTTTCACATTTTCTACAATATAGCTGTAATAATGTTCATAGTTTATTCTGTATACCTATAAGACTTTTTAATAATGCCTTTACTGAGATATAATGAACATACTATCCAATTTACCCATCTAAACTCATTTTAGTGCAGTCTAATTTAGACAATTTTGTCACCCCCAAAAGAATCCTCACACCCATCCACAGTGACTACCCATTTCCCCACGCCCAGTCCTAAGCAGCTACTAGCCTACTTCCTGTCTCTGTAGAGTTGCCTATTCTGGATACTTCATATGAATGGAATTATAATACGTCATCCTTTGTGACTTTCACTTATAATGAGTTCAAGTTCACCCACGTTGTAGCACATTTCAGTGCCTCATTCCTTTTTATTATTGCATAATATCCCGTTGTATGGCCACATCACATTTTTTTAATCCATCCATTGACGGACATTGTTTCACATACACACGTTTTGATTACTATGAACATTTGTGTACAAGTGTTTGCGTGGACGTGTATTTCCTTTTCTCTTGGGTATTTACCCAAGAATGAGATTGCTGGGTCACACGGAAGCTCTGTGTTTAACAGTTTTAGGCACTATCACCCTTTTCATGGCGGCTACACTATTTTACATCCCCACCCCCAGCTGTGGATAAGGGTTTTACCTGTTCCACATCCTTGTCAACACTTGTTATTATCTTTGTGGTTATAGCCATCCTAGTGGATGTGAAGTGGTATGTAATGACTTTTGAATTTTTTAGAAATATAAAATATTTTTAAAGTCCCAATAAAATGGATAAAAAAGAAAATTGGTAAGTGAGCTTTGATGTGTGCAATTAAAAGCATATTTTATGATTGAAATGAGAAAACAAACTTGGAACCCTACCTAACCTGTTGGCGATTTCATTTCAGGTGGCCTCTATGCAGTTTATTAATATTGTAGTCCATTCAGTAGAAGATATGAATTTCAGAGTTCACCTCCAGTATGAATTCACCAAGTTAGGCCTGGACGAATACTTGGATGTAAGTATAGATGAAAGCTTTGGCTCTAGTAGAAGACCTGGTTTGTTGCCTACCCTCAAGGATACACTTCCACGGTGACTAAAGAACACTTGCAGCTCTGTGCCGTCCACTAACTGTACTGTGAGGTAAAAGGAAGCCACCTGGGAGATGCAGTCTGCCAGAGACACTGGCTTCTTGCAAGCCTCCTGGGCCCTCCGCTGCCTTCTGCCCACAGTCTTTTAGAACCAGAGGCAGAGAACCTCTCTCGAAGCCTTGCTGCAGCTTTCCTCTGCTTTGGAGCTCTAGGGACCAAAGTTTCACTGCACCCCTCATTTGGGCAGGCTGTGGGGCAATTCACATTCTTGGTTACTCTGGGGAACCTTGTGCAGGGAAGGTCAAACCCAGACTGCTGTAGAGTAATGATGAATTCCTTAGAGCATATGGGAGAGAGGGGGGGGGGTTGTGGCGGGAGGGTGGGAGAGAAATGAACACTAGAGACTTCCTTCCTTGTGTAGTTGTTAAATTCTGAAAATGTTTGTGGCTTTAGAAGTTCTACTTTTAGTTCTTGGGACAAAAGGGTCTGAAGTTTCTCTTTCTCATGCTCCCTTGCAGAAGTGCTCAGCCAGTTCCCTGAAGCCCTTCAGAAAGTTGATGTGAAAATTGTCAATGGACTCCAGTAGCTCTGTGTGCACAGAATATACCCTTTCCTTGGACTCGTTGGCAGTTATGTTTTCCATTTTAGATAAGAATGGTCCATTTGCACTTGGGAGATACTAGTGGTTGGGCTAGAATGGTTGGCCTCAATTTCAAGGCTGTTTCTAGTTATGAAGACAGGAGTCCTCCCCTCGGAGCCCAGCTGCCCATCGTCCTTAGGAGTGGAGCCAGGGAATCACACATCCGTACCCTCAGTGTATTGCAAGGCGGAGTCACAGAATGGTTACCCTGCAGCTTATGGCCTTGCTCATCCGACCAGGGAGAGTGGCCTAATGTCTCAGACTCCTCAGAGAGAGGCATGATCCGTTTCTACTGAAGAATGGCTTTGAATTGTTTTCCCACTTAAAGACCCACTAATAGCTTTGATAGGATAATGTACAGAAGGGCATTTTGAGAGCTTGGCGTGTCTGTCTTTCCGCACGTGCTCTGAGAAAAGCAGTATTAGGACGGAGCCTGGGCGTAGCGCTCCATAACGCTGCTCTGGGTTCCGTCTTGTGATGGCCACGCAGAGCTCACTCCAGGCCCGGGAGACAGTGGCAGGTAGTAACGTGTTAGCACCTGTTGTTCATGGTGAAATCCGAGAAGAACCCCATTGACCTTCTCCAGCTTCTTTTCTAGACTCCACCCCTGTTTAGAAATCTTTTTCAGTTCTGACTCCCCAGCCGAAATGGAGCGTGCTCTCTTCCCACAAGCTCAGGGGTAGAATGCCAGCTCCGACCGGGGAGAAAGTCTGCTTTCCTGGGGATTTATGTAGAGTAGGATTCCTCGGAAAATTTTAAGACTTTTTTTTGAAAACACTCTATTTCTCTAACTCCCTGCTCTGTCGGTTCTGGACCCTGGTAAATAGAAGTGGTTCAAAGAAGAATTGGATAAGCATATAATGTATAAATGCTTCACTGGTTTACTGAAACCAGCCTTGCTAAGGAGCCATTGATTTGTTCAGTACATGTCTATGGACACCATCCATGTGCCAGATACTATTCCAGCTACTCCTCTGCTCCCCGGGGAAAGCCGGGCCTTACATTACTTCTAAGGAAGAGTCCTGGTTTACTTGACCTCTAGCTTCACCATAGACTTGGATCTCTCCCTCTGGAATGCCTGGCCTGGGATACAAAGAATGGGGGGCGGGAGCTTCCTGACCTGTGCTTCGGGAACACTGAGCTCCTGATGAGCGGCAGTGTCATAGGGAAGTAATGGAAGGTGGGCTCTAGCAATTTGTGTTAAAATAAACCCCCAGGCCAATGTATTCAATCAGTGCCTGCTCCACTGTCCCACAACCCTACCTCCAATTAGACCTACCAACATTACCCAGGCCAGTTACCAGCCACTCCTATCTCTTTTTCCACACAGATACCTCTCAGGTTTTATGTTCCCCGTGACTCTCGTTCCCATTCAAAGTTGTTTTTAACTTTTCTGAATTCACCTGCATCAGAAGGTTTTAGGTTGGAATATACCCGAATGGGGAATATACCCCCTGGAAGGAGTGGGGAAATGAGTGTATTTGGAAGAGGTCTTCCAGGAAAGCAAGCTGATGGTACCCTCTGGGATGGTCACCCCTTAAATTCTCTTGAGGAGGAGGACCTATCAAACCCTCTCTTAGAACACACTAGACCCGTGGTCGGCAAACTGCAGCACGCGAGCCACATTTGGCTTTTTGGCCCCTTGAGTATGGCTCTTCCACAAAATACCACAGCCTGGGCGAGTCTTATTTTGAAGAAGTGGCGTTAGAAGAAGTTTAAGTTTAAAAAATTTGGCTCTCAAAAGACATTTCAATCGTCGTACTGTTGACATTTGGCTCTGTTGACTAATGAGTTTGCCGACCACTGGACTAGACTATGTGGAACAAACAAAACTGCGTATGCTGTTGAGTAATTGCATTCTGTCTTCACCGATAGGCTAACACCCCCTTCTCTTGCCATTTGATGTGTAGAAGCTGAAACACACGGAGAGTGACAAGCTGCAGGTGCAGATCCAGGCGTACCTGGACAACGTGTTCGACGTGGGGGCCCTGCTGGAGGACGCCGAGACCAAGAACGCAGCCTTGGAAAGGGTGGAGGAGCTGGAAGAAAACCTCTCTCATGTAACTACTTCCCAGATAAGGAAAACAGGCCTGTGTTTCAAGGGGTGCAGAACAGAATAAGTGTCCGCTTGGTGGCCGAGAATGACAGGGCGTGGAGCGTAGGGATGAGCTAGAGAGGGCTGTCAGAGGCCACTCGGGGTTCTCTCAGGAAGGCGGGAGCATTACTTCACACTCTGTGGGATCGTGGCCTTGACTTAGCGCACCTGCCCGGTGCCTGCCGAGTCCACAGTCCCTGGCCACGCTGTTGTTGGCACGGGAGAGTTCTGCGATAAGCATGACCTAGAGCACATGTGTCAAACACAAGGCCCGCGGGCCAAATCCGTCCCGCCAGGCCTTGCAATGTGGCCCGCACCGCGCTGTCATCACTGCACTCCGCTGCGTTTCCATCACAATGACAGTTTATGACCGTTCAGTAAACCATTCGGCCCGCGATTTAGGCTGGATTTTAGATTTTGGCCCCTTCTCTGATTGAGTTCGACACCCCTAGCCTAGAGGGAAGTGCAACTCAAACGTGTGCATTTGGCCAGAGGGGAACACATTTCTTCTGAATATGAGTCACCTTCTGCCAAATGTGTCCACGCGAGCCCATGGACAGGGCGCCTGGTGGCTTCCTGTGCCTGTCTGCGCATTCCTGCCTTGTGGATTCACTTCATCGATGAACCTTTTCAGGGGCCCCGGTGCGCCTTCCCCAGGTCCTGCTCTTCCAGCGGCGTGTCCTCTCAGTGTGATGTGTGCACTGTGTCAGGACTGGGACTCCTTTTCCCTTCAGGGGGGTTTTCTCGCTGCCGACCCAGGGGAATGAGCCGTTATTCACTGGTTCATCCAGCAGCCGGTCCTGTAATATAGCAAGAATGGATGGAAACACGGTGCTGCTGAAAAACCCAGGCCTCGGGAGGACCCGAATCTTCTGCTGGTCTGACAGTGTGTCCCTGAGATTGTGAAATGAATCGCCTCTTTTGGAGGGACAGTTATTTTCCCCTTTGAACGTTTCTCTCCCTCCACATTCTCCTAGTTCCTAGTTTACATGTGTTTAGTGTCCTTCACCTTTTCCCGTCACTCTGCATACGTGCATCCGAGTGGCTGTGGTTGAGCCAAGTTGCTTGGTAGCCTCCTGCTTGGGAAGAGCAGTTACGGGCTTAGTGCTTCTTCCCTTAAGAGACTTGAATGGTGTTTTGATCTGATGAGTGTAAGTCTCCCCTCTTCCCTTCCGCCTGCATCCCTGATTTCCCTCCCTTGTGATGGTTGTCAGGGAGAGGAAAGAGGTGCGAGGCTGCTTAGTTCTAGAGCCTCATGTGGAGAGGACCTGTCTGACCCACGGCTCACCCGGTCTTGCTCTGGAAGCCTTGGCCAGCACTGTGTGACCAGACGTCTATAACCCGCTTTCGTAGGAGGCCCCTTGTGGGTGTGAACGGCCCCTCTGGAGTGACGTTTAATATTTGGGTAGTTTAGGCCCAAACAAGCAGTTGTATTTTTTCAGCTGGTTACCTATACTAACACAGCCAAGTTTTCTGGATCAACAGTTTTCAAAACCTTTTGCCCACGGGCCCTTCTTGGGGAAGGAACGGTGGGCTTCCCCCTCCCTCCGCCGCCCTCCCCCAGCCCCTGCAGAAACGGAGAGAGACGTGCCAGAACTCACGTATGGGTTTTATTGAGGACCGTGTATCAGTTAATTCCCATTGAAAACAAAATGCAGTCAGAGCCGTGCCATAAAATTTACATTTCCATAAAACGGCCTGCGGAACACTCCCAGGGCTGCGATGGTGCGATGGGCCCCTTCCGGCTCCGCGCCGCTCGCCTTGCTGAGGGCCCGGGAGCTGGTCCCAGTGGCCCCGGGTTGTGACGCAGCTTCCCTTTCGCACCTTACAGTTGTCTGAGAAGCTGCAAGACACGGAGAACGAAGCCATGTCCAAGATCGTGGAGCTGGAGAAGCAGCTCATGCAGAGGAACAAGGAGCTGGATGTGGTTCGAGTGAGTGTGACGGTGACGCGGCCCGTGGGCCCCCGGGGAAGGGCGCTCGGGCCCTCGCCTGGCCCAGTGTTCCTGTCAGAGGAATGCCCTGGGCATCCTGTCTGTGGGGACTGTTTCCGAGGCGATCCTCCGAAGGAACGGGCACAGTTGTGGGCTGTCCACGTGCGTGTGCAATCACACGCTCCGGGCACTGTGTCCTTGTCACCGGTTTCAGGAGCAACAGCATTTTCCCATCTGGACGGAGTCCGAGTTGACTGTGCGGACCACTCATTTGGTTAGCCATAGAAACACAGCGTGGGTTTAATTCATGCCCCTTATTTATGCCTAATAGAACTTGGGTTTCCTTGTTGCTCTGCTTTGCTTCTACTTGAAACCAGATTTTGGTGGTTGCCATGGAAATGGTGACATCACCACACAGGCGAGACCTAATGGCGTTCATCAAAAAAAAAAAAAAAAAAAAAAAAAAAGTCAAAGCAAAACCAATCCATGTTATGATCAGATAAGCGCAGCTGTTTTATTTGGCGCTGGCATTGTTTTACCTCCCATGTCAGGTATTTATGGAGCCCCATCCGTGTGTTTAGAATCGCAGGGAACATAAAACCGCCATGAGTCGCCTGGAGGGCCTCCGGGCAAACGGCTCGCCTTTACACACCGCCGTTAATGAAACGGCACGTTTTATGCGATGCTTATCATGTCTGTGTGTGTTGCTGGATAGTCTGACATGTCCTGGAGTTAACGCTAGGAAATTTATTTTCTGGCATGCCATCGAGACGGAGTTGGAGCATATGGACTCAATTCAAGGGCAGGCTCTCGGTTATTAATAATAGGCAGGGTGTGAAGAATGTTCCCCTGCCTGACGGAGGCTGTGGTGAGAGGTCCTGGGTACAAGGCCTGGCGAGTCAGTGCCATCGCATCCTCTCCCGGGGAGCCCCTGGGAGCCCCTGATAAAAGGAAGCGGGACAGCCTTTGAGATGAAACGGTAACTTCTTCATTTTCTGCTAAAAACCTAGACAGAAACAAGTCCTCAGCGGAGGGGAGCACTGGCCTGTTTTGTTGACCGTGTTCCCGAACGGAAAACGTAGCGGCAATGGCTGTCCTGCACTCGCAGGGGGCATGGTGAAGGCCGGGGAGATCGTTCAGGGCCAGCCAGCCTCTGGCCACCCTTCAGCCAATTATTCCACACCTTGCAGGTTTTTAATCCACTCGGACTTCTGTCCAAGGCTAATGTAGGGCTCTTTGGCTACTGCCAGAGTCAGAATGAGTTTTAAAGTAAGTGAAAGAAAAACATGAGAAGCCACCAGAATACCCACAGGATATCCCAAAGTCACCTCTGAAGTCATGGCTGGGTCATCTCTGCTCTGTGCCTCTCCCCCTGCTGGGACAGTCAAGCACTAATGAGTGGAAAGAACCATGTTAGCAACAAGAATTGCAAACAGCCGGCACCGGTTTGGCTCAGTGGATAGAGCGTTGGCCTGCGAACTGAAAGGTCCCGGGTTCAATTCCGGTCAAGGGCATGTACCTTGGTTGCGGGCACATCCCCAGTAGGGGGTGTGCAAGAGGCAGCTGGTCGATGATTCTCTCTCATCGACGTTTCTAACTCTCTATCCCTCTCTCTTCCTCTCTGTGAAAAATCAATAAAATATATTTAAAAAAGAAAAAAAAAGAATTGCTAACATATAGCGCATGCATTGCCAGTGAGCCAACGATAACGAATGGAACTTTATAGGTTCTGGCTGAGTTTTATAGAATTCCTCTATCCCAGTATCCTCTTTCTTTTCTTTCCTTTTTTTTTTTCTTTTTTTCCTTTCGGCTGTTTTCTTTGTCCTCAGTTTGCCTATCTGGTGGCGAGAGGCAAGCATGCCCTGTGAAGCCAGACTCTTGACCGTGGACTCTTTTGCAGGAAATCTACAAAGATGCAAATACCCAGGTTCACACGTTAAGGAAAATGGTCAAAGAGAAAGAAGAAGCCATTCAGAGACAGTCGACCCTGGAAAAAAGGATCCATGAACTGGAAAAACAAGGGACTATTAAGATTCAGAAAAAAGGGGACGGGGACATCGCCATCCTGCCGGTCGTGGCTTCCGGCACGGCGTCCGGGGGCTCGGAGGCCGCGGGGGGACCAGTAACGGGGGCCGCCGCCTCGGGACCCTTGCCCCCTCCCCCACCTCTACCTCTGGTGTCAGATGCGCCTGAAGCTGGTAAGAGGCCCTGGCGGGAGAAGGGGGTGGTATTGGGATATTTGTTCTTCTTTCGTTTACTCGCTGCTCCACGGATGTCCTTTGTGTGCACGTGGCCTGTGGCAGGAAAAACCATCCCCCTGGTTTCTAAGTCCGTTTGTTTCTTCTCTTTTGCTAGTGCAAAACGGTCCGGTGACACCACCTATGCCCCCGCCTCCCCCGCCCCCTCCCCCGCCCCCGCCTCCCCCACCCCCTCCGCCGCCTCTGCCGGGTCCTGCCTCCGAGACTGTGCCAGCGCCTCCTCTACCGCCACCCCTTCCTCCCTCTGCACCCCCGCTGCCCGGGACCTCTTCGCCCACGGTGGTTTTCAACTCAGGATTAGCAGGTAAGAGCAGGGAACAAGACCCTAGTGTGCCCGGGTCAGAATACTCACTGTTCTTCCTTCCGAGGGTCCAAGCCGTTCTTTGAACTCCACGTCCCTTGAATTGTCATATCTCTCCTCTTGATAGAACATCCTGCTAAGGCGCCAGGGAGATGGTCACGCTCAGGGGGCTGCCCCCTCTCAGTAGGTTTGTCCCTCTCTCATGGGCGGGAGGTCCTGGTCCCACACCGTCTCAGCACCCTCCAGGGGAGGGAGAGACAGGTTACTACCTTCTTGGGATGCGTGCGTTTTCACGGGTCCAGCAAACATGTCTGGACGTCTGTCGTAGTCGAAGCTCTGACAGGCTGCTCTGGTGCCTGCGGCTCTTCTATCTCGAAGCTATCTGCCATGTCCCCTAAAAAGAGGAGGGGTGTGTGGGAGGGGGCCGAGCCTTTTTGTGTAACTGCCTGATGCAGGCTCGCAGGCTTTCCGAGTATCGGAGGGCATCAGGACTCACTGCAGTGCAGGGACGCTTTCAGGGGGAACGTTGCCAGCAGCTGCATTAGGATGCCCTGAAATGCTTCCTGATCACGCACTTCGTCTTCCTGCCGACCGGAACCCAATGCAGCGGCCTCCCCCGCCAGCAGTAAGGCGGGGGGTGTGGGTGAGCGGAAGACCGTTGCTCTAATGCCTCGAAATGGAAGTTCATCTTCGACTCGGAAATGCGTGTTGACTCCTCTCTAAAGCACTGCCTGCCGCTCTCCCGGCCTCCGCCTGTCTTCCTGGCGCGGGGAGTTGCTCTGAGCTTCGCGGTGCCGTCCCCGTGACATCAGATGATCCCGCCTCCTCATCCACTTATAGTCCCTCGGCGAGTCTCATTTTTGCCCAGGAGCTGCTGCTGTCTTTATGTTTTCCCATTTCCAAGGCTGCGGCGGTAGTGCTCAGAGCTTTTTGCGGTAGTTCTAAAAGACGGCAGCGACCAAGGACTTCCCAGCCTGTGTCCCTTCGCGTGTCTCACCACAGGGTCCCCAGTGGTGCTAACTCATCCTAGGGACAGAACGCCGCCCACAGCAAACTGGTTCCACACCCCAGCTCCTATCAAACTGTCCGAGCAACAAATAAAGGAATGTTCTCAGGAAGCCAGGGACTCACCTTCACCCTTCAAGGTCATCCCAAACTACCACTTCCCTCTAGAGCAGTGGTTCTCAATCTTTCTAATGCCCCTCCTTTTTTTTTTTTCTTTCATTATGCTACCTGTGGGTTGTGACCCACAGGTTAAGAACCATTTCTGTGGAGCCTAAGACCCTAGGGAAACACAGATATTTACATGACAGTTCGTTAACAGTAGCAAAATTAGCTCTGAAGTAGCAACAAAAATAATTTTATGGTGGGGGTCACCCCAACATGAGGAACTGTATTCAAGGGTCTCGGCATGAGAAAGGTTGACAACCACTGCTTTAGAGCTGTTATTGCCTCTGAAGGACAAAAACAGAAGGCGTGTCATTGTGGCTTTTGGAGCGTAAACAAACCAAAAAGCCTTCACCTGACCCGGGAACCTGCCCATCAGCAGGCTGTTTTCCACGTGGAGACCTGTACTCGCCGTGTGCGCTGGGCTCACGGATTCCGCGTGGCCCTACGCGCGCTCCCTGTGAGATGTGCTGGCTGTGTAGCCCTCCTTCCGTCCTGCTTCCTTTCTGGCAGCTTCTGCTGGCACCCACCTGAGCTCGGCCGGGTCTCAGGACTGCCTTGCTGAGCGAAGGAGCCAGGAAGCTGAGATGTGGGTCCAGGGCCCTTCTGAATGGGTCTTGTCCCTCGATGGTTAATTTTGTTCCTGCTTAATTTTATTTTTTTAAATATATTTTATTGATTTTGTACAGAGAGGAAGGGAGAGAGATAGAGAGTTAGAAACATCGATGAGAGAGTCATCGATCAGCTGCCTCTTGCACACCCCCTACTGGGGATATGCCCGCAACCAAGGTACATGCCCTTGACTGGAATCGAACCCGGGACCCTTCAGTCCCCAAGCCGACGCTCTATCCATTGAGCCAAACCGGTTTTGGCTGTTCCTGCTTAATTTTAAAAATGTGTTGGCCGGTTGCTTCTCTATTCAGCCGATTCCCCACTGCTGCCTTTGGAGCTGGTTCCATGGGGAGCTGTTCCCTCTGTGTCTCCTGCAGTTTAGAGGACTGTGTGTGGGGTTGGAAGAAACTGCCCTTTAGTGCCCTGTGTCCTGTAAACAATCGCAGGGTGTTCTGTTTCACAAGACGTAAGGATTGTGAGAACCTTACGTGTAGCTGGTAGCTTGCGGCCCGGCAGTTTCTACAAGGCCTTTCATCTCTTCTCGTTACTCAACCTCAGTCTAGCCCTGCACGCTGCGTGGTGCAGGCCATGCTGTGAGATTCTTCGCCGGGGTGTCTGGTAGCTTTTCTCTCTCTGGAACCAAGAGGCCAGACAGGAACAGGATGTCCCGGTAGAGCCAGAGACAGAGCCGGGACATACATGCCAAGGGCTCTTGGGAAGCCAGAAACCTGTGACCACGAGGTCCCCGGATCTGCAGGCCAAAGGATGTCTGTCCCTCCAGCAGGCCCTGAGCAAGTGTGCTCTTGGTGGCCGAGATGGGGACCAGGAGGAGGCCCCCCTATATTTAGTTAAGTTTCCTTTGCAGTTTATAAATGAAATTACAGTGATGGGAAATGTGCATTTGAAGCTTAAGGTCTACTTCCCTCAAATCTGTGATCAATCGACTGGCTCCCAAGTCCTAGTGAGGCCAGCGCTGCAGGGCGCTGGGCAGTCTGCACCCTGTGTTGTTTCTGCGGTGGAAAGCGCTTTGGAACTTCACAGTGAGGGTGTGGACTCTGGCTGATTATTTTTCATGAAAACATTTCCCTTATCTTTAGGAGTACTTAGCACAGTTGAAAATGGCTGTTTGGGACTACTATAATGAAATCATTTTTTCCCCCCTTTTCTAAAAAGGATTAGTTTTTTAAAAAAACAAAATAAATGAGTCTTCAAGGCAGGCCCGAAGGGAAATGGATTTTTGGCTCTGGCCTGCCTCACAAAGTGTGTCCCAGAAGCCTGAGATTCTACGTGAAGAGCGTGTCAGCTGCTGAGCCACTTGACTCTAACTGTATCTAATGTGATTTGTATTTTCTTTGTTCTTCCTGCTTCCACAAAAGATGGGCCCATCAAACTTTTCTGTAGGTTGCTGCTCACTGAGTGTGCTGCGTATTTGCGTTGTGCTCCTGTTGGTCACACCGTGCCTTCCATCCTTCCACTCCACCTACACTGACCCATTGCATTTTGACTCTGTGTCTGTGGGACATCTCGGTGTTGCTGACTGTTGTCCCAGGCTTGCCCACAGGTTTCAGCTGACGCTGTAGGAGAGATGATGGCCCTCAAGCAGATATCCTGGGTCCTGTGCCACATTCCTTTCTCCTTGAGGAAAGGAATGTTTTTCCTTTTAGTTTAATTTTCATAGTTGGGTCTAAGGCCTCAGTTCTCTAAAGACTTTGGACTTACTCTTGGTCAGTGGTCAGCAAACTGCAGCTTGAGAGCCACAGGCGGCTCTCTGGGCCCTTGAATTTTAAGCAAAGGCCAGCTTAGGAGTGCCCTAATTAAGTTAATAGTGTACCCGCCCATATAGTTTAAGTTTAAAAAATTTGGCTCTCAGAAGAAATTTCAGTCGTCATACTCTTGATATTTGGCTCTGTTGACTAATGAGTTTGCCGACCACTGTTCTGGGGGGAAAGAGAAAGCTCCACAGAACAAGGATGAGCTTCTGGTGCCACCTTCCTGGGCTCCGGCTCTCTCCTGGAGCACCTGCCCACCCCCTTAGCCTGAGAACTTCATGCCATAGTCACCTGCAGAGCTCCTCCTCGGACCATACCCCCTTCCCCAGAGTCAGGACAGCCTGCCCTGAAGACTTTATTTGCCTTGTCTTCTGGTTTCAGGCTTATTACTAATCTCACTAACGAGCTAACAAGTAAGGTGGCTGCCAATGGAGTGACTTGCAATGAGTGTCCAGAGGCCATGCTGGAACCACGTGTCCCTGGCTTCTCACCAAAGATTATGGTCAGCTCCCCACACAGCCCTTCCCCTCAGCATCGCCCAAGTCCCAGCACAGAGGAAGGGCTGTTCCTGGGTCCCAGGAAGGCCTCAGGTGTCCCCGGGCAGCGTAGGCAAAGGGTGCAGTGTGGCGAGGAGCCCAGCACTGCTGGGCAGTTGGGCCGGAGGTGTCGCCCTTGGGAGTGGGAAGGCCTGGTGTGGCAAAGCTGTGTTCTGTGTCCCTGCATGCCTCTGTGTCGGTGACGGATGACATTCTGCTGTGGATTGTGTCGCACGTGTAACTCTGGAGGAATGAGAGGCGCTGTCTGCCTCCCGCTGAGGCAGGCCGCCCCGAAAAAGCCCGGGTGTGTTCTGCATTATTCCCCCTTGCACTGAAATTCTCCTTTTCTTGCTAATGATGGCAAAGAGCAGAGCTCCCCAATAGCGTGGTGGGCGTCCCAGGGCATACTAAAGAAGGCAGATATGTACAACTCATGGCTTGGGAGGACTTCTTTATGATGTGGAATTAATTAATGGCATTTTAAAAAATTATATGTTTTATTGATTTTTTGCAGAGAGGAAGGGAGAGAGAGAGTTAGAAACATTGATGAAAGAGAAACATCGACCAGCTGCCTCCTGCACACCCCCTACTGGGGATATGCCTGCAACCAAGGTACACACCCCTGACCGGAATAAAACCTGGGACCCCTTGTGTCTGCAGGCTGATGATGCTCTATCCAATGAGCCAAACCAGTTAAGGCAAATGGCATTTTTAATGGATTGCCTTTTTAGCTCATTTCCCCAAAGTAAGAGGAGTTGGGGTTGCTCCCTGAGCCCCTCAGAGATAGAGCCCTCCCTCTCTGTCCAGAGGTTTTCAGAGTGTGGACTGAGTTCGTCCATGCCCCTGGTCCCACGCAGTGAGCCCTGGGGAGAACTCGCTCTTCACGGGGGGGAGGGACGGGGGCCATTCTCAAAAAGCAATACAAGTCCTGGTCCCAAGTACCCTTCTGTCTCCTTGAACATTTTCTGTGTTCAGCCACTCGTGGCCCTGAGTCTATTGAAATCACTCGGCAGCCAATATAACCCCCATTTTTAAAACCATCCACAGGAATGCATTGCTCTGGCTGGAAGTCAGCATTCCTGATGCTACATTCCTGGGGGTTCAGAGAGACACTGTCTGTCGTCTCTGGTCATCTTCTGAGATGCGTTCGGAGAGGCATGTTCTAGAGCCAGGGATTTAGGACGTCAAAGTGACACTGGGGCTCACCGTTTCAGTCCCAGTCCCCGGAGCAAGTGCCCTCTCCGCTGTCTAATAATAGCATGACTGGTCATTTTTGTTCCCCAGTATTTATTTGCCTTAAGCATTGTCCAGACATTGTGACCGTGATGCAGCAAACCAGTTGCCCGCATTAAAAAGACAGCCAGCCCCCAGCTCTTAGGTGACTGGAACACAGTGCGGTGCCAGCCAGCCTCGGCCTGCTTTGGCCGCAGCCACGGGTGGGTTGGACTACCCAGTGCCCCCTGCCAGCCTTCCTCCAGGGTTAATGTGCCATCTGCGAGGACTGTTGTCTGAGTGCTCCAGAGGGTCATGGGGTCGCGGTGGAATCACAGTTTCCTTCTCTCTGACCTCTGTAGCTGTGAAAATTAAGAAGCCAATCAAGACGAAATTCAGAATGCCAGTCTTTAACTGGGTTGCCCTGAAGCCAAATCAGATCAACGGCACAGTCTTCAATGAGATTGATGACGAGCGGATTCTGGAGGTATCTGTCCTACGGGTTACTCTGTACAGCAAAGCCAAAATGGGTGTGTTGGTAACCTGGGCTTCTTGGTGATTAAAGTGCTGGTGTTTTAAGGGTTTTGATGGAAAGAAAAGAAAAAGAAAAAAGGATATATGATGTCAGAGAATAAAATTGCAAACTATTTTATAAGGTGGGTTTAAAACTTTGTTTAAAAAGTTATGTTAAAATGAAATAGTTTTGAGCACCTTCAGTGTATGCCAAATGTGTGTGTGTGTGTGTGTGTGTGTACACACTGAGTGGCCAGATTATTATGATCTCTGAACTCATAATAATCTAACCACTCAATGTATATCCTATATAATAAAAGGCTAATACTCAAATTATCCCCTCGACCAGGAGTTCAACCAGCAGGCAGGCTGGCCAACTGCCCATATCCCCTCATCTTGGCCAGGCTGGCCAGACCCCACCCATGCACAAATTCATGTATCGGGCCTCTAATATGTATACACACACACACACACACACACACACACACGAGTGGCCAGATTATTATGATCTTGAATGCATAATAATCTGGCCACTCAGTGTATATGAGCATATATGAATGTATATCTGACACAAGGTCTTCCCTTAACTTATAAAGGGCATAAAACTCTTTATTAAATTAAAGTAATAATCATACTCACTAGCCGGTTTGATGGGTAGTTTTAGTCTGTGGTTGCCATCCCTGCAAGCTAATTATTGAAAGGCATTTGAATTGGCTGGTTGGGACCAGTCATGTACTTTCAACTTTCATGTCTACATACATGGTATAACTCATTCGAGCACAAACCAGAAAATAGAGCAGACCATGGTCAAAGACAGGCATTGTGTAAGTTCTTTGACACTCTAAATGGTGGCTTCCTAACTTAATCTTTAAGTTTAATTCATTTGTCCTCTCTACCTCAGGATTTAAATGTGGATGAATTTGAGGAAATATTTAAGACCAAAGCCCAAGGTCCTGCCATTGATCTTTCCTCAAGCAAACAGAAGATAACGCAGAAGGGATCCAACAAGGTGACGCTCCTGGAAGCAAATAGGGCCAAAAACCTTGCCATCACTTTAAGGAAAGCTGGAAAGACTGCCGACGAGATCTGTAAAGCCATTCACGTGTAAGTTCAGGGCATTCTGGGGAACTCTATTTCAGTAAAACAAGAAGGTCATGAATTCGTAGATGACAGGAATATTTCAAGAGTGAGGCAAGACCTAAGGTAAAAGATGGAGCAATTGTTAATATCCACACACCAGAGAGTCCCGTTGTTACATCTGTGCAGCTGGAGAGCTTAATGAAATGTTAACACAAAAGAGGTGGGCCAGACGTTACCCCGGGAGGGTGGTATTACAAGGAGTAATTATAATCGTTTGGGAAGAACAACGAGATCGTGACATTAATTATCTTGGTCGGCTCTCCTGTAGGTCTACAGCAAAGCTTCCGTAAAAGGAAAGTTGGGTGGAGTCTTGCAGCTGCTAAGGAAAGGAAGAAATGTCAGTTTTCTCTTGAGTATCTGAATTTTACTCAGATTTGTTGAATACAAATGTGATGGCATTTGTGGAATGATGCCATTCAACACCAGATGCACATAGGATACGGAGGCATATTTTAATTTATAACAATAGGAATGTGATTGCTGTTGCTTTTAGTGCTTTCAGGACATTTTAAACAAAGTTGAGTTTTTTTTGTTTTGGTTTTTTTTTATCCTTGAAGAGCAGAGAAGGCATTGGTTTTATTTATTTTTCTCTTAGAGAAATCTTTCTACTCTTCTTATGGTCATGATGACTTTCAAATATGATAAGGATGTTATAAGATGTTTCAGGAACTAAATCATTGTAAATTGGCATTTCATAAATTTTGATCAGGGATTCCTCCTGCAGTAAATGGCCCCAAGAAATCATCTGTTTCAATTTTATGTCCTCTGTCAGAGTCATAATCTAATAGTGCATTCCTCCAGTCTGTTCTGATTTCTGAGGTTGGAACCTGATACACACTTTGATTTTTAATTTTTACATGCCTTGTTTGCCATGGTGATTAATATAATTATATTATTTTGCCCAACAAAGATTGTCTGGAGAACAATCTAGAGGTTGTAGCAGATACTTTGTTCAAATTGAGCATATATCCACAAGGATCTGGTAATCCTTCAAGGAATGTATACACTTAAGCCAAAATATCCATATGGCACTGGCATTTGGTTTCATTTTTTTTTTCCTAAAGAAGAAAATACATTCCCAGTTATTGGTTCAATTTAAATATTTTACAGAGTTCACCAGATATTCTTTTTAAAAATATATATATTTTATTGATTTTTTACAGAGGAAAGGAGAGAGATAGAGAGCTAGAAACATCGATGAGAGAGAAACATCCACCAGCTGCCTCTTGCACGCCCCCTACTGGGGATGTGCCCGCAACCAACGTACATGCCCCTGACCGGAATCGAACCCGGGACCTTTCAGTCCGCAGATCGACGCTCTACCACTGAGCCAAACCGGTTTCGGCTGGAGTTCACCAGATATTCTATAATCATGTGTATAGTATTAATCTCCTAATTAGCAGTACTTAACATGCCTAAAAATCCACATCCTCAAATGACTTAACCATTGATGCCTCAGCCTTTCTCTGCCTCGTCCCACTGTCATTTACTGCTGATTTCTGGAGGCTTCACGCTCTGGTAACAGCTTAAAAAACTGGGTGTGGGGTGTGTGAGGTCCAGGTTGTCAGGAAGGACCAGGGAAGGCGCTTGCTGCACAGCCAGGAGCCAGCACCCCGGGGCCTCTTCACCGTCCTTCCCTGTGACACTCTGACATGGTGGCTCCTGAGCCGGACCCAATGGCGGGTGTGGGTGGAAGGGCAGGGGTTTTCCCTCCAGCACTGACCTGTCCCCCTCTGCCCTCAGCTTCGACTTGAAGACGCTGCCTGTGGACTTTGTGGAGTGCTTGATGCGGTTCTTGCCGACGGAGAACGAGGTAAAGGTGCTCCGGCTCTATGAGCGGGAGAGGAAGCCGCTGGAGAACTTGTCGGACGAGGACCGCTTCATGATGCAGTTCAGCAAGATCGAGCGGCTCATGCAGAAGATGACCATCATGGCCTTCATCGGCAACTTCGCCGAGAGCGTCCAGATGCTCACGCCGGTGAGTGCCGCGGCTCTGGCCGGGGAGGGGTTCCCACGAGGTACCGAGTCCTTTTTGCTGGTTGAAGTCTCTCTCAGGATAGTGCTTCGTGCCATGGGCTCTAAACACGCCTTCCCAGAACTTTCTAGATTCCGATTTTAGTTCGGCCATCTTTTCCATTTTGTGCGTGTCAAGTGAATTTGCAAATGGTGACATTTTCCACGTCTTGCCATTCTCCCTAGAGTAGGGGTGTCGAACTCAATCAGAGAAGGGGCCAAAATCTAAAATCCAGCCTAAATCGCGGGCCGAATGGTTTACTGAACAGTCATCAACTGTCATTGTGATGGAAACGCAGCGGAGTGCAGTGATGACAGCGCGGTGCGGGCCACATTGCAAGGCCTGGCGGGACGGATTTAGCCCGCGGGCCTTGTGTTTGACACATGTGCCCTAGAGGATGCCATCTTCTGCGTCTATATGCGTCCTCTGGATTTTAAAGTGCCAGTCAGTACGGAGGACAAGGAAAGACCATTTTCTTAGCCTCCGTCCCCTCCTGAAGAGACCAGCTCTCTGGCTGGGGTGGCAGAGCTGAAAGTGCGACTTTCATTTCAAAACCCAGCCCAGCTCTCTAACGGACAGGCTTACTGGCTGTCGTTGGGAGCCTCACGTTATCACTGGCAGCAGCTTCCTCGGAGCTGGTGGCAGTGCACTTGCGGGGGGCTGCAGGGAGAAGAGCCAGCCATCTCCCCTCCTCTGTGATGATCTGGCGGAGGCTATGATATCACAGACATAAATATCTTAGAAGGTTCTTTCCCAGTTCTGCTTCTAAACAAGCTTTTTTAAATTGATTTTTAAAAATAATATATATTTTTATTGCTTTTTTTTACAGAGAGGAAGGGAGAGGCATAGAGAGTTAGAAACATCGATGAGAGAGAGTCATTGATCAGCTGCCTCTGCACACTCCCCAATGGGTATGTGCCCGCAACCAAGGTACATGCCCTTGATCGGAATCGAACCTGGGACCCTTGAGTCCGCAGGCCAATGCTCTGTCCACTGAGCCAAACCAGTTAGAGCCTAAACAAGCTTTTGATGGTAACTGATTATAGGAGTGTGGATACCTTCTGTCCAAACACCTTCTGAGAGCGTCTGGTTCTGCTCCTTTGCTGTTTTGTCTCCATCGCTGAGCAGCCCCGTTGGTTTAACATACAAACCGTGTCCCAGGGCGAGAGGGGGCCGGGAGTTGAGCTCTGCTGGAACGCGCTGCTGACTGAGCCTCGTGGTCATAGGTTTGTGACAAGCCGGTTCTGCCATCACTTCTCAGTTCAAATCATGTGAGGGAAGAGCTCGCACGGAATGAAGTGGTTAGCTAAGACCTGGCAGAGCACTCACATTTACTTACAGAACCTCAGCACGGAGGCTTCAAGGTCTAAATGCAGGCCTGTTTTCTTCTCTGTTAGCTCTTAATTTCCAATTAGAGCCCCCCATTTTTAACATCTTTGTTTTTCTTCCCTCCCCTTCCTTCCTTTGACCGGAATCTAGCAACTGCACTCCATTATAGCAGCATCTGTCTCTATAAAGTCGTCTCAAAAACTCAAGAAAATTCTGGAGGCAAGTGACGTTTCCTTGGTGTCTGGATGGGGGGTGGAGTTGGGGGTAGGAGCTGACAGCCCCATCCTCTGCCTGGGAGCTGGGCTGATGGGCGTCTCTCATCTTGCTTTTGTTTGCAGATCATCTTGGCCCTTGGGAACTACATGAACAGCAGTAAACGAGGAGCAGTTTATGGATTCAAGCTTCAGAGTTTAGATCTGGTGAGTGGACTTGAGAAATGCAAGAGCTCTCTGAGGCAGAGAGCAGCTGGCAGAGATCACATCCTGGAGGCAGAGATTACATTCTGGGATGCTGTGATGAGGATGCTCTGCTAGTGGAGGACCAGCTCTGCAGTGCCCGTGTTCTGGGACAGAGTTTGCCAGCAGGCACTTAGATCCTTGGATACACTCCTACCCTTTGACCCAGTGTTTCCATTTCTAGGAATCCATCCTCAGGAGTCCGAATGGTGGATGCCGTATTTACTCATCATTGCAAATAATTAGCAACATCACTAAAGAGCCAGTAATTGGAGAAATAATTAAATATGCTATAGCCATAGTTAATACTTGGGAACACTTCTTCAGCTGCTAGAATACCTGTGAAGAATTTTCAAAGAAGTACCGTGTTTCCCCGAAAATAAGACATCCTCCGAAAATAAGACCTAGCGCATGGAAAAATAAGACATCCCCTGAAAATAAGATCTAGCGCATCTTTGGGAGCAAAAATTAATATAAGACACTGTCTTATTTTCGGGGAAACAGGGTAGGTAATCCTGTGTTGAGAAAAGAAAGCACAGGGTATAAATGGAATGCACAGGTAGTTTCCAACTAAGTGAAGTAGGTAGGAAAACCTGAATAGAAGTATGCTGAGGTATTTACAGAGAGGATGCATGGAATTGGGGTGTTTTTAAAAACTGCTTCTTGAACCTCTTCTGTCCTTTCTTAACACCCCCCCCCCCCCCAAATGTAACGGGTGCCCTGGCTTTCAGAGCCACCTGATTTATGTAAATACTGTAGTAGCTGAGGAAAGGCTGTGTGACACAGCCTGGGGGGAAGACAGATGGTGCGGGGTCAACGCGGCTTCCACGCCCAGAGGTGGGGCAGGGGCGGAGTCCCCAGCCTGGGGGGGCGTGGGATGTGGTTACTTGACAGTCATTGTCCCCTTAGTCACAGTGCTGTCCCCCAGAAGGTCGTGGACTGCTGGGCACGTCTGGTGTCGGTCAGGAGAGGCCGGGAACGAAGAGAAGGGCTGAGCTACCCTTCTCTTGAAGACCGCCGTGTAGGAGCCCTGCGGTGCAGGACGAACCTGTGCACACCTGTCGGCTCCCCACGCCCTCTGCTCTAGGCCTCCACCTGGGAAAGCAGCACTCCGCCTGGAGTCCTCCTGCTCTGAGGCCAGAGAGGTGCGGGGTGGGGAGCTCCTGTGAGTGCAGGTGTGGGGACCGTTCTCGGCGCCAGAGTCATCCCTGACGTGGAGCCTGTCCCCTCGTTAGGATGTCCCCTCGTCGTTTAAAGTCAGCGGGCTGGCTCATCCAGGAACAGATGCAGGCTGGAGTCTCCCAGCAGTGTTGTTTGTCCGTGCTGGGCACCTGTACCCCGCCGCTGACTCCGGGAGACCTTCGTGGATGGGTAACTCTCCCACTGCCTTTCCCTCTGACCCTCACGCCCTTTTGTCTCCAGCTGTTAGATACAAAGTCCACGGACCGGAAGCAAACGCTGCTGCACTACATATCCAATGTCGTCAAGGAGAAGTACCAGCAGGTGTCCCTCTTCTACAACGAGCTGCATTATGTGGAGAAAGCTGCGGCAGGTACTGGACTGAGCCGTGAATGTTCCTCTTGGGGCCTCAGTGGATTTAATGGCGGGGGCGGGGGGGAGAGCAATCCCTGCTTAGCAGACACCCTTCAGAACCTCTCAGGAGGCGGCTGAAGCATCCAGCTCTGAGCGGGAACACATGGACTATGGTGTGGCCCATCCCGGGGAGCAGTAATGAACTTGGACACGAAGGTGACCTCCCTCAGTGTCCTCTCTATAGAGAGCCAGGTCTCTGGGCCGTATGCACCTTCCCTCTTCCATCTTTTGCCCTTTATTTTATTGCTGCTTTTCGAAATAAGAGAATGAGAGTCTGAGAATTACCCCCTCAACAAACACTTGTATTTTGTGATGTTTCATGAGCTCAGGTGTGGCGGTTCTTTAGTCTGAAAACAAGTTAAATTACCAGTACTTCTTGGTTGTGACTTTGCTATGACTGTTAGGCATCTCCTCATTTAAATCACCAGTGGTTCTGAGGTAGGTGCTGTGCTAGGCAATCATATCCTCGTGTGTCAGATGAGAGCGCTGACTGTTTTAGAGGTTAAATGTCTTGCTTAACATCACGTGGGTCACAAGCAACAGAAACAGGACTAGAACCTGGGTTGTCTTCTCAGACAGTGTATGGCCCAGAGTTCCATGTCCTCTAGAAAGAATATTTGGTTAGCCCTAACTGGTTTGGCTCAGTGAATAGAGTGTCGGCCTGCGGACTGAAAGGTCCCAGGTTCGATTCCAGTCAAGGGCATGTACCTGGGTTGTGGGCACATCCCCAGTGGGAGGTGTGCAGGAGGCAGCTGATCGATGATTTTCTCTCATTGATGTTTCTAACTCTCTATCCCTCTTCCTTCTTCTCTATAAAAAATCAATAAACTATATTTTTTAAAAATAATATTAGGTTAGAAAGAGGAGCACATGCAAATCAACCTCAGAGTTAGTTACAAGGTGTGACTCCTAAATTATCATTGTGAAACAAGGTGTTTATTATCAATTAATATTCCTGAGGCCTACCCCAAATTGCTGAATTGAGTCTTTGAATCCATTGTAACAGTTTGCATGCCCATTGTACTTGCAGGTATAATCAAGTTTTATTTATCTTTTAAAAATTTATTTTTCAATTACAGATGACATAAAATATTACATTAATTTCAGGTGTACAACATAGTGATTAGACATTTTATTTCTTCAAAGATCACTCTGATAAATCTAGTACCCATCTGACGTGATACAGTTATTATATAGTAGAGGCCCAGCGCAGGGGGGGCGAGGTCCCTCAGCCTGGCCTGTGCCCTCTCGCAGTCTGGGAAGAGGGCCTCAGCTGGCAGTCGGATGGCCCTCTCACAGTCTGGCACCCGTCGCTCCTTACCGCCTCCCTGCTCACTGCACTTACTGTTCAGCTCACTGCTCCTTAGCACTGCTGTGGAGGCAGGAGAGGCTCCCGCCACTGCCCTGCACTCGCCTGTGGTGAGCTCAGCTTCTGGCTGACCAGCTCTCCCCCTGCGGGAGCACACTGACCACCAGAGGGCAGCTCCTGTGCTGAATATCTGCCCCCTGGTGATCAGTGCACATCATAGCAACCAGTTGTTCCGCCTTTTGGTTGAATTGCATATTAGGCTTTTATTATATAAGATTATTGACTCTATTCCCCGTGCTCTACTTTTCCTCCCCATGATTATTTTTATAACTGGAAATTTGTACTTTTTAATCCCTTTCGCCTTTTTAACAACCTCCCCTCCCCAAATCTGGCAAACATCAAAATGTTCTTTGTATGTATGAGTTTAAGTGTTATTTATCTTATTTTATTAATTTTTAAAGTGTTATTTATCTTTATAATTCCCTTTGCCCTGGCAAATTGATCATGGGAATAAATGAAGGAATGAACAAGTGAATAAGTGAATGAATGAATGAATGAGGGGAATGCACTGTTCCTGGGATAGATGCTGCTGGAACCGGGTGGGGATGGAGAGGCAGGTGGAAATGATAGTGTGATTATGAAGGATTGCGGTGCTCCCTGTGACAGGTCAATTGAGGGCTCAGGGCTGAGGTGGGTTGTGACCAGTATTTCTGTTCCGGTGGTATGATTTTCCTCCTTTCAAGTTTCCGTCTGCCTCAATTAGAGGAGGTCTTTAGCATCACAATTCTAATTTAAAAAACAAGTTTTAAAAAATGTCAACCTTACTAATTAGCACGTTTTATTGGGCCCAAATGAGATTCCCTGAAAGTGTGATTTGGAAAAAATAAATCTGGGGGGGAAATGGGGAGATGGAGGAACTCCTGCTGCATTGGTTTCTATGTTGCTTTTCTGGTGTGCCGACTCAGATTCCTTAGATTCCTTACATACCTACACTCACTTATTCACTCACCTTCCTGTATCCAGTGAGCCTTTGTGATTCCCTGCTGTGTACTGGGCACCATCCTAAGCATTGAGGAGTCAGAGGTGACCAAGGCAGCATGAGCCTGGAGGGGAAGCGTCCCATGTGTTCTGTATTCCATGCACAGAGCTGCGGCAGCAGTGGGGAGCCGGAGCTGGGGCCCGAACGCCCCGGAGCTACCTGCCCTGGGAGGTGGCCACCCCATGCTATTTAATAAACCCTTTAAAGCAGGGAAGGGCTGTTTAACAAAAAGAAGGCTATCTTGGGGCCAAGTGGTCAAGACAACTCAAGTTCCAAAAGTAAAATGCTGCCCTCTGCTGGAGAGCCACAGAAATGCAGAGTTCAGAGTGTTCCCATCTTGGAACTTCTATAGGCCAACCCAGAGGCCATCCTCTCCTGTCAGAGCCTGGGAACAGGTGTGTAAAAGCTCCCAACTTGGAGCCCGTGGTTGTTATCTGAACTCCATCTCTGCCACCTTCCACCGCCTAGGGCAGGGCACGTAACTGGCTATGCTGCTTCTCCTTGTTGGTGGAATGGGTAACGGTACAAATGAGTTATTGGGTGTGAAGAATTTTAACGCAGTGTTTGGCGGTGAGCACGAGGTGAGTTATTTGTGTTTAAGGATGTCTGCACTGAAAGCTGGCAATGAGATCCAAGCCCCCTGAGTGGCCCAGGGAATCCACTGAGAGCTCTGCTCGCCAGCCAGCACCCCGCGGTCCGGACTCCCAGCCGAGGCTCACGGGAATGTTGCTTTCTCTGCTCCAGTCTCCCTGGAGAACGTCTTGCTGGACGTGAAGGAGCTGCAGAGGGGCATGGACCTGACCAAGCGCGAGTACACCATGCACGACCACAACACGCTGCTGAAGGACTTCGTCCTCGGCAACGAGGGGCGGCTGAAGAAGCTGCAGGATGACGCCAAGATCGCGCAGGTCAGTGCCTGGTCCCCCGCCCCACAAAGCAGCGGTGCGATCCCCCCAGGCCCCCTGGGGAGTTGGCCCCGGATTTCAGGGGAAATTGCCCAATGTCCACTGAGGGTGGAATTCTTAGGTAGTTCACTGAGCAGGTAGTGTACCTGGAAGGGCTCCTGTTCCTGTGCGTTGGCCTCTCTAATTTGGGGTTTCATCCTCTTATGTCGAGTTTCCCCTTCCTCTCCCCACCCCCTGCCAGGCTCCCGGTATGGGAGTCCTGTGTTCGGTTCCGCCCACACGTGTCAGGCTGTGCTCAGCAAAGCAGTGTCCCCAGTGCGCTAGGTTTCTGTAGGCCTTTGGCCTTGAGGTCTCACACACACACTGGGCGGGCGGTCCACACACGTGAGGAGCAGCCAGAGCACTGCATGCGCCACCGAAGGGGAAGCAGAGTGTTGTGGGGACTCAGCAGTGGGCGCGGTTGGTGGCCCCCGTCTGAGGCTGGCTGTCTTGGGTCCCAGAAGCGTCAAGCAGACCTTGAGTGTCCCTGGTGCGGGCTCCTGTGAGGAGCAGTGCAGCAGCGAGTGGGGAATTTAAGTTTGAGTGACTTCTAAGATCCCATTCGTTTCAAGTTCTGCCCTGGCTTGAGAGGAATAGAATATTTGTGTGTATGGTGGTGTGTAGGGGTGGGTGCGTGCGTGCGTGTGCGTGTGTGTGTGTGTGTGTAGGTGTGTGTTTGGAGGTGTGTGAGTGTGTGTATGTGGAAGTGTGTGTGTGTAGGTGTATGTGTGTGGAGTGGGGTGTGTGTATGTGTAGGTGTGTACGTGTGGAGTGGGGTGTGTGTGTGTGTGAGTGTGTGTGTGTGTGTGTGTGTGTGTAGGTGTGTGTATGTGGAGTGGGGTGTGTGTGTGTGTAGGTGTGTGTGCCTGTGTGTGTGGGGGGGAGGTGTGTGTGTGTGTGTGTGTGTGTGTGTGTAGGTGTGTGTTTGGAGGTGTGTGAGTGTGTGTATGTGGAAGTGTGTGTGTGTGTAGGTGTATGTGTGTGGAGTGGGGTGTGTGTGTGTGTAGGTGTGTACGTGTGGAGTGGGGTGTGTGTGTGTGTGTGTGTGTAGGTGTGTGTTTGGAGGTGTGTGAGTGTGTGTATGTGGAAGTGTGTGTGTGTAGGTGTATGTGTGTGGAGTGGGGTGTGTGTGTGTGTAGGTGTGTACGTGTGGAGTGGTGTGTGTGTGTGTAGGTGTGTGTGCCTGTGTGTGTGGGGTGGTGTGTGTGGAAGGGGCAAGGTCCCAGAGAAGGATCCTGTGAGCCCTGCTCACTCTGGCGGGGGCAGATGAGGAGCGCAGGGACGGGGAGCGGGGGAGCCGCTGTCATCACCCTCTTCGCGGCAGCTCCCTGTCCGGAGCGCCAAGCTCAGCTGCTGGGCTGATGGAGTGAAGGGAAGTCTGCTTTCCCACAGGATGCCTTCGATGACGTGGTGAAGTATTTTGGAGAAAACCCCAAGACGACGCCCCCCTCTGTCTTCTTTCCTGTGTTCGTCCGGTTTGTGAAGGCCTACAAGGTAACCGGGAGCCGGTGCCCTCCAGCCTGCCCCGTTTCCCACACCTCCACACACCTCCACACCCCTCCACACACCTCCACACCCCTCCACACACCTCCACACACCACCACACACCTCCACACCCCTCCACACCCCTCCACACCCCTCCACACCCCTCTACACACCTCCACACACCTTCACACCCCTCTACACACCTCCACACCCCTCCATCCATCCACACACCTCCACACACCTCCACACCCCTCTACACACCTCCACACCCCTCCACACACCTCCACACACCTCTACACACCTCCACACCCCTCCACACCCCTCCACACCCCTCCACACCCCTCCACACACCTCCACACACCTCCACACACCTCCACACCCCTCCACACCCCTCTACACACCTCCACACCCCTCCACACACCTCCACACCCCTCCACACACCTCCACACACCTCCACACCCCTCCACACCCCTCCACACCCCTCCACACCCCTCCACACACCTCCACACCCCTCCACACCCCTCCACACCCCTCCACACCCCTCCACACCCCTCCACACCCCCCCACACCCCTCCACACACCTCTACACACCTCCACACCCCTCCACACCCCTCCACACCCCTCCACACACCTCTACACACCTCCACACCCCTCCACACACCTCCCCCCCCTCCACCCCCCTCCACACACCTCCCCACCCCTCCACACCCCTCCACACCCCTCCACACCCCTCCACACCCCTCCACACCCCTCCACACACCTCCACACCCCTCCACACCCCTCCACACCCCTCCACACACCTCCACACACCTCCACACCCCTCCACACACCTCCACACACCTCCACACCCCTCCACACCCCTCCACACACCCCCACACACCCCCACACCCCTCCACACCCCTCCACACCCCCCCACACCCCTCCACACACCTCCACACACCTCCACACCCCTCCACACCCCTCCACACACCTCCACACCCCTCCACACCCCTCCACACCCCTCCACACCCCTCCACACCCCTCCACACACCTCCACACCCCTCCACACCCCTCCACACCCCTCCACACCCCTCCCCACACCCCCCCACCCCCCTCCACACCCCTCCACACCCCCCCACACACCTCCACACCCCTCCACACACCCCCACACCCCCCCCCACACCTCCACACACACCTACACACCCCTCCACACCCCTCCACACCCTCCACCCCCACCTCCACACACCCCCACACCCCCCCACACACCTCCACACCCCTCCACACCCCTCCACACCCCTCCACACACCTCCACACACCTCCACACCCCTCCACACACCTCCACACCCCTCCACACCCCTCCACACACCTCCACACCCCTCCACACACCTCCACACACCTCCACACCCCTCCACACCCCACACCCCCCACCACCCCTCCACCACCCCTCCACACCCCTCCACACCCCCCCACCCCCCCACACACCCCCACACCCCCTCCACCCACCCCTCCACACCCCTCCACACCCCTCCACACCCCTCCACACCCCTCCACACCCCTCCACACCCCTCCACACACCTCCACACCCCTCCACACCCCTCCACACCCCTCCACACCCCTCCACACCCCTCCACACCCCTCCACACCCCTCCACACACCTCCACACCCCTCCACACCCCTCCACACCCCTCCACACACCTCCACACACCTCCACACACCTCCACACCCCTCCACCCCCTCCACCACCCTCTCACCCCTCCACACACCTCCATCCATCCACACACCTCCACACCCCTCCACACCCCTCCCCACACCTCCACACCCCTCCACACCCCTCCACACACCTCCACACACCTCCACACCCCTCCACACCCCTCTACACACCTCCACACACCTCTACACACCTCCACACACCTCCACACCCCTCCACACACCTCCACACCCCTCCACACACCTCCACACACCTCTACAGACCTCCACACACCTCCACACACCTCCACACACCTCCACACCCCTCCACACACCTCCACACACCTCCACACCCCTCCACACACCTCCACACCCCTCCACACACCTCCACACACCTCCACACCCCTCCACACCCCTCCACACCCCTCCACACACCTCCACACCCCTCCACACCCCTCCACACCCCTCCACACTTCCCGGAGCTGCCCCGGGCCTCAGCAGCTGCTTTGGGCAGCAGAGCCGGTGGTCAGCTGGGGCAGGAGTCTCTGGCCTGAGAAGGCCAAGCTCCTGGGGCCGCAGCCCTTCAGGCTCCCTGTGTCCCCCCGGCCAGCGAGGCTCAGCCTGAAAACAGCCCTGGCTGCTCCTTGGGACCAGTGAGATGCTTCGCCGTCGTGGCTGCCTCGTTGACCTTTCACCCTCACAGGAACCCAGGCCTCCCCCAGGGGACTGGGCCTGGCCTGTGGGTGCTGCCCGGGCTTCAGCGCCTAGATCAGCGCTTCTCTGTGTGCTGAGGGATGGCGCTGGCTGCTCTGCTCCTTCATGTGGACTAGCAGGGCCCGCCCTTTGAATGGGAAGCTCTCTTTGACCTAATCCAGGCTCTGGTCTTGAAAAAGCATGTGAGCCACAGGGGCCTGTGTCAGAAGGGTTTGTCCTTGGAGCAAGAGTGACCAGGATGGCATTGGGGGATGGCGGTGCAGGTAGGAGACACCGCATCCCACGTTCTCAGGCCTGTCTGCGTATATCCACCCCCTGGGTAGAGCTGGTGGGGCTGTGCTTGTGAAGGGAGGAGGGACATGCCAGGGTTGTCTCCGTGTTTTGAGAAACACCCTATTGGAAATAGCAGGCTTTGGAGAACCATCCCGGGGCCTTTTACCGAAAGGCAGGAGGATCCCAGTCTTTAGGGCTCCCTTCTCAGCGTGGCCTCGTGATGCCACAGGCTGCGTGCGCATGGGACTGTCCTTGGAAGTGAGGTGAACCCCAGCCCAGCACTAAGTCCTGTGCAGGACTCAGAGCCACGGGCCCGAGAAGGTCACGGTCAGGGGCTGCTGACTGGTGCCGGGGCCAGGTGGCTCCCTCGTGCGCGGGGGCCACGTTTTGTCCCGCCTAAGAAGTTATACGCCTGAGGCCTTAAGGGGAAACCATATGCTTATCTTTAAATCGTGTGATGCAAGCTGGGACGTGGCTCTGGCTGGTCTCAAAGCGTGATGCTTCAGCAGGAACGCGTGGAGAGCAGAGGAACAGGAGAAGCTGCTCTGGGTGGGCGGGTGCCACAGGTCATGCCTGTCGGGGTGCCCCATCCACCTCACCTCTCCCTGGGGTCCGTCCAGCTGGCCCCACAGGACACTCATCAGGCAGTGACGTCACAGGATGTGTTACCTGCCAGCCTGACCCAGACTCGGGCATTGTGCGTGGGGAGAGTGGGGTTGTAGATTGTCATCCCTCCTTTCCCTTCTCACATCCCGCCAACATGACACTCCAGAGGCATCAAAATGTAAACTTTCCCCCCCATACCAGCTGGATGGGAGGAACTGGCGTGTGTCTGTGAGTGGCACTCAGCCAGGGTTAGGTGACTTAACCGGCTCCCAAGCAGTGAGCCTTCTCCTCAGGGAAGCTGCCTTCAGAGGAGAGGATGTGGGAGGGCTGAGCTGACATAAGCCTGTTTCATTTCTTGTCCTAAACGGATGGGACTAGTGACTCTGCCTGCCCTGGGAAGGAGCGAGCTGTGGGCAGAACCTAAGAGTGTCGCTGGGTCAGGGCCCCGGAGGAGGCACGAGGAAAGGAGTGGAGAGGGGACTCTGCATGGGATGAATCACTGCTCCATTTTGAAGAGACAGACAGTGGAACCCCACACCCATGTTATGTACGGGCACCAAATATATATCTGAACCCTCTTCCACTTACTGTAATTGCCGGCTCCCCTGGGACGCTGTCAGAAGGACGTTTTAGAATCCTGACTGCTGCCATGTCCATTGACGTGTCTCTCATTCTTTTCGCTTGACTCAGCAAGCGGAGGAGGAGAACGAGCTGAGGAAGAAGCAGGAGCAGGCGCTCATGGAGAAGCTCCTGGAGCAGGAGGCTCTGCTGGAGCAGCAGGACCCGAAGGTGAGGGAGCCCGCCCCGCCCTGCCCTGGTGGCTCCCGGGAGCGAGCAGGAGGGACGGGCAGCAGACCAGGCCTGCCCAGGACCCCTGCCACTTCCTCCTGGGGCCCGGCAACTTGGCAGCCGGACATTTGCTCATTCATTACTCTGCTTGGAAAGACTGGAATGAGGCTGAGGGCCTGTGAGCGTAGCATTCCTAAGGTTACAGAGATCTGGGACGCAAAGCCTCCATGGTGGACTGCATGGAGAGGCCATGTCGGATGATTGGGCTGCTTGTGTCCAGGGAAGGCCTCAAGGGGATGCCTCTGCTGCTGGCTTTGCTGGCTGGAGGGCGTTGCCAGGAAGAATGGGTGAGGGTGGGGTGGGGGGAGGGTGTATGCCATGAAGGGAGGCATCGTAGGTAAAGATCATAAAGGCTGCAGGTCAAAGCGTTCTTCATCTCGATCCTCTGCAGCCGAGTGTAAGACGTCGGTAGGACCCACCCTCCCCATTGCCACCGGCTGGACTTTGTGCTCCTCAGTGAGTGTGTTCCCTCCCCAGAAGCTCTCTGTTTCCCTCTGTCTGAGCACAGTGTGGTGCTGCTTATGTGTTTGGTGGAGGCTCAGGCACCGTTTGGAATATCTCAACCCTCCGACGGGTGCGTGGTCCCACTAATCTCCACCTTGCCTCTTCCTTCTCAGTCTCCTTCTCACAAATCAAAGAGGCAGCAGCAGGAGTTGATTGCAGAGTTAAGAAGGCGTCAAGTGAAAGATAACAGGCACGTGTACGAAGGGAAGGACGGTGCCATTGAAGACATCATCACAGGTAAAGGCCACGTCCTCCTGACGGCCCGGGGGGCTCCCGCCCGCCGGCCTCACCGCGCTGGCCTCCCGCAGATCGCGCTGCTGCTGGTCCAGGGCTCCCAGTTCTCCCGACTTTAATCAGACCCAGAATCGTGCAGAGACTCTGCTAGTGTTTGAAGTGTATCATAGGAGCCCGTGGACTGCCTGTCAGAGAAGCCCACAAGCTCTCTGAAAAACCTCATTTCTCAATACCATTGAGGGGGAAAATCTCATTTCTCGGTATCATCGGGGGGGAAAAAATCTCATTTCTCAATATCATTGGGGGGAAAAATCTCATTTCTCAATATCATTGGGGGGAAAAATCTCATTTCTCAATATTATTGGAACCCTTTAGATTTCACTAGGGCTCCTTCTCCTAATGGTTTTCCACTGTCTTCCATTAGTCACGTGCTCCATTTCCTTCCTCGTGGTCACTGCTTCCCAGACTCGTAAAGGCTCTGGCAAGACCCATTCGAGGTCTGTACTAACACTAACCAGTCAGTGCGGATGTCGCCAGCTTGCTCTGCAAAAGCCCCTTTACTCCTTCCAGGGACCTGAAGACCAGAGCAAAGCAGGGGCTGGTGCTTCCATTCAGAAGAGCCAGTGGGCTTCCAGCCCAGGGCAGGGGAAGGGCTCCTTGTCAGCCAAGAACCGTGCCTGACCCAGCTCTGTTCTTGCTGATTAAGTCGTAGCCTAACACTTTCTGCCAGAACCAATTCTGGAGAGTTTCTGCCTTCCCTCTTGGCAGATCAGACAGCAGTTTGGGCCCCTGGCTTGTGGCCATGGACGGAAGTGACAGCCTTTTCATGTCTGTTGCATATGGATCCTATTTACCAGCTTCCAAGATGCTTCAACCTCTTATTGTAAGAAATATTTTAAGTATGAAAAAATGTGGAGAATGTATGAGTTCTCACGTACCCACCACCCAACAATAATTTTCGGCTCAGGGCCAGCCAGTCTTATTACATGCCTGCTCCTATCTACTCCCCATCCCCAACCTCTGAATTATTGTGAGGCGATTCCAAGACAAAAGGTTTCATGTGGAAATATTTCAGTACGAACCTTTGAAAGATAAGGACTCTTTAATAAAGCAAACATGCCCGTAGTACCATTACCATACAACTCCTAAACGATGCCTTGATATAAAATGTCTCGTCGTTATTCACATTTCCCCAACTGTCCTAGTTTTTTACAAACTCTTAGATTTTTTTTAATTCTTCCACTTTGGACGTCCCGTTTCTTGTGAAAGCTTAGTCAGCATTTGTAAGTACGGATCCCAAACGGCCAAAACTAGAAATTTTTCCACCCGCTCCGAGCCGAGGCAGTAAAATACTAACACGGAAGTCAACGAGGAGTCCCTGGCCCAGAGTTACGCAGAGTAGGTTCTGAGTGCCCGGTGAAGATGCCATGTCTGCACACGGTACAGACGTGTTCTGTGCCCACCTGCCTGCCGGCACCTCGGGTTCACGCTGCAGGGCTCTGTGGCTGCTCCCCCATAAAGCCCCGGGGTTCCGCGTCTCTCCTGGCCTCCACACGGAGGGAGAGGCTCTGCTCTGAGCAGGACCAGGGACGGACCTCCTCGGGCAAGCGCCTCCGGCACTCAGAGCTGCCGGATTAACTTGTTACAGAGAAGCAGCCGGCCTCGCACTTTTAAGTGCTTGAGTTCCTTTTCATGAGTGTTCCCCATCTCAGTGACCCCTGGCTTGTAAACTGAGCAAAACGTGTGTGTGTGTGGGGGGGAGGGGGGTTCATTTTTATTTTTCATTTTATTAATTTTTTTACAGAGAGGAAGGGAGAGAGAGAGTTAGAAATGTCAATGAGAGTTCATTGATCAGCTGCCTCTTGCATACCCCCTCCTGGGGATGTGCCCGCAACCAAGGTACATGCCCTTGACCAGAATCGAACCCAGGACCCTTCAGTCTGCAGGCCGACGCTCTATCCACTGAGCCAAACCGGTTTCGGCAAAACTTGTAGTTTTCATTTGCCTGACCTCATCCTGTGGAGCACCCCTCACTGTCCCGGGAAGCGTTTCCATTCTGTGACCCACGACCGAGCCCAGACTGAGTAGCTTAGGTTTGATGAGCTCACTTGGGTCCATTACTGCCGTCTCCCCTTTCCCGCTCCTCCCCCCCCCCCCGCCCCCCCCCCCGGCCCCCCGGTATGATTAACAAAGCACTAACTGCGTACTAATGCGATAGATCTTGGCTTCTCACTCTCTTCTGTTTGTCCTGTTTGGCTGTCGTTTCCGATGCAGTGCTGAAGACTGTGCCCTTCACTGCTCGCACCGCCAAGCGTGGCTCTCGGTTTTTCTGCGAACCTGTTCTCACTGAGGAGTACCATTACTAAACTATTACTCTTTCTCACCTGATGCTCTGAAAAGGTTGCTACAGTTTTGTTTTTTGTTTTTTTACTACCTCCTATCACCCTCTGTATGTCTTGTCTGTCCGGACCAGCATGGAACTGCCATCTCCACATGTAGTGTTTTATGTCGTCTTCACGCTTGCATGGTTTTGCATTTCAGCCGTAACGGCTTTCTCGCTGCCACTCTCCATACATCTGAATCCATATTGCTGTGACCGTCTGGGTGTGTGTGAGTTGAATGAAAAGAACTGCTTGCAGAAATTTTCAGAAAAGTAGTAAAAAGAGTAGTTCTTTGAGAATCGGGATTGGGTCCCACTAGGTTGCTTATAAGATTTTTGGTCTAATATATTTGAACAAAAACTAATAGTCATTAATAACAGTAGCTACTATAGCTAACACTTGTTGAGCACGCACTGTGTTCTAACAGGTTTACAGATATTAACTGGTCTTTATTTTGTACTCATTCCCTATGCTTTGATAGTATATAGCAAGCATGTCAATCTCAAAGGCTAACCACGGGCCAAATAAACAAGGCATGCCTTCTGCGGGCCGCGAGTTTGACATGCTTGGTATATAGGCACTCAATGCAAGATGCTCTAAGTTGCAAAATGCTTTTCAGAAAGAACTGTGAGCTATGCACAGATGTAAACTGGGCCTCCAGGGTTGTCTGCAGTGATAGTCATCATCCACAGTGTCACAGTGTACGAGCTTAACCCAGGGAGGCCTTTGACCTAGAAGCCTGTATAAGCTGACAAGGCAATCCATGGCTTTATACCCACCCTTTTTCCCTCGGAGTCCAGGAACCAGCGGTTCGGTGTTGCAGTAAGGCTGTGAGGCAGGAGGTGAAAACCAAGGCTCAGGAGCCCCTCACTGTCTCATGTTGTTCATGTTCCTTCACTATGTTCCATGTCAAACCCAGGGCATTTCTTCTGTGACCAGATCATATCTGGGCCTGCTCCTTTGGTCAGAATGGTGGCACCAGATACTCATAGCAGTTACCTGTCATCGGAAAATGCCACTGAATTAAAAAAGAGAGGTAAAATATTACCAAGAAGTCACTTCCTGGGCTTAGATCCTGATGCCTGGATAAGGACCCAGCTTCTCTGCAGTGCCTGGTTGACTAGAGAAGAGACTAGGGCTGCACACGGCCTCGTCGGCCGTGGCCGTGGTGGGACTCCCGCGAGTGCCAAGATTGACATGGAACTGCTGCGTGTTTATTTTGTGGCATGAAGCCCTCTGTCATCAACTCATGTATGTTCCTCTGTCTCTGGAGATATGAGAGGATGTGGTGTGTGGTTCCTGCTCTGAGTGTACTTACCCCCCAGTGCTTATTAACAAGGCTGGAAACTTACCTCCATGGCTATTGTGGTCGGTCAGTGTCGCTGTTGGCTTGTCTGTCATTCTGGAGCCAGACTTCAAAGCAGCTTGGATCTGGGTGGTCAGCGACCCGGATGGGAAGAACGCTTATCTTCTCCCGTTTTATCTAACAACCTCTTGTAGTGATGGCCTCCACTCTCACCCTCTGTTGGCTGACACGCCTAGGAATGTGAAGCACTAAGTTGAATTGCTTTTCATTTTCATTCCATTTTTATTTAACCATCATTTTGTGTTTTTGTTTTTTTTTCTGTTTAGCTTTAAAGAAGAATAATATCACTAAATTTCCAAATGTTCACTCGAGGGTAAGGATTTCTTCTAGCACACCGGTGGTGGAGGATACACAGAGCTGGCAAGCATCACTTTTTACTTAGCTTCCTCCTCTCTCTGTATGCAGATCAGTGGTTTCAATCTATGGCCCAGGGTAATTCTGGTGAGAGTCTACCAGGGAGAAGTGTTTGTACCTCACTCTCAATGATGTGAGGCCAGGCCTCTGTTGTACTCTTTCTGGCCTGCTTCCGTGTTCTCACGTATGAGGGCTTGGGCAGGGGTTGTCGCTGATTATTGTGATTGCTTTGGGTGGTAGGCTGTCCCTTACCCCTGCTTAGCCTTTGAGTTATTCAGTTAACCCCTTTGTTATCTGAAGACCTTGAGAGCCAGTCCTGGCCAGAGGACAAAAATAGCCTTTGAAGGATTAGGATCTTTAAAATTAATTGCTTGGAGGGCTCAGGAATCACAGAAGGGCAGGTCCCTGCATATCCTTAGCCAGAAGTGGGATTCTAGCCCTCCTACCACTCTGTGCCAGGGACCAGTCTCCGAAGGATCAGGGTATGCAAACCTGTGCTTTGCTTGCATTTAGGAGTAGGACAGGGTCACAAATCCTGAGCCCAGAGCTGGTGGGCACAGTACAGAACGAGGGCATCGTCTTGCACTCGGCTCCAGCTTGTGTTTGCCTGCTGAGAGTTTGGCTCCAGTATTGCCAGATCCTCCAGTTTTCCAGCTGAAGTCAGAAACCCTGCCTTTTATGTCAATTACCAGTTTAACTATCAGGAAACTGTACTTAAAAATGTAAGTCAAGGTCAAACATTCTATTGTTTTTGTGTTTCCCCTTCTAAAGATAGAATGTTTCCTAACAGAAATATAAAGTACTAAAACTAATGAAAGGGAAATGTCTAATAAACAAAACAAGGGGAAGAAGAATGAAGCCTGCTTTTTCCCCCCCTAATATCCTGACTCCATCAAAAGGAAAGCACGCTTCATAGAGTTCTTGTTACTCAAATAAAATTCCTCTTGTTCGTCCCACGTTATCCCTCCAGCGCAGTGCCTTCTTGAACTAATATGCAATGAGCCATTTTTAAAATAACAGGCATTCCATTCTGCTGTGCATTTGCAATACAAATCGGAGAATGCAGGGGGGCCCATATAACTTCTCTGCTGTAATGAAAAACCAAAAGTATTGGTGGCAGGAAAGAATATTCAAGAATTGAGTATTATTTTGATTACATTTATTTAGTAGTTAATTGAACATTGTTTCTAGTACACACAAAATAAAAAACTGACCCCAGCTAATATTAATTTAAAAAATGGAATCTGTGTCTGTGAACTATTATAGGTTCTTCTTTTTTTTTAAAATATTTTATTAATTTTTTTTTAACAGAAAGTAAGGAAGAGGGATAGTGTTAGAAACATTGATGAGAGAGAAACATCAATCAGCTGCCTCCTGCACACCCCCCACTGGGATGTGCCCTTGACCAGAATCGAACCTGGGACCTTTCAGTCTGCAGGCTGACACTCTATCCACTGAGCCAAACCAGTTAGGACTATGATTTCTTCTTAAAACTTGGGATAAGATAGGACAGGACAATCGGTTTTATTAGTTTTGCAGTTTAAATTCATTATTGTTTATATTTAGGTTTCCAGAAAGAAAAAACAAACATCTAAGCCATAGCGATCTCCAATTGAGGAAATATTTCAAAGTAAGACTTCAGGTAGACTCTCTGGCCAGTGACAAAAGCAATCTCCTATTATTTCCTAAAAGTTCCAGAATCCCACCAGTATTACATCATGTTTTAACTGTAAATACAGAGGGTCAAAGTTCATGTGTTTGGCTCAGATATTCCATGGGTTTGAAGGGCCCATTACTGACTCTTCTACACAAGCTGCTTTGATTGGCTGCCAGCTGGCCTTGTCTTGCTTAGAAGCACAACATTAAAGGTTGCACTTCTCTCATTGATGTTCTCTTTACAGATCTTAGAAACCAACCATACAGACGAGCCGATGCGGTGAGGAGAAGTGTCAGGAGGCGCTTTGATGATCAGAACTTGCGTTCTGTTAATGGTGCCGAAATAACCCTGTGAACCTGAGACCTGACTGAATGAACAGAGGGTGTGCGTGAAAGCAGCTGTCCACATGGACTTCACGTGCCACCATTTAACTGCAGCCTTGAACACAGATGAAATATTCTAAGGGCTCAGATTTAGCAAACATAGGAATTTTAAAATGATGGGCCCTCTCAACCTTTGTTAACAAGTGCCTAAAAAGTGGAAGTACCTGCTCAGATTAATCGAAGCAATAGGATTGGATTTGATTAGGTATCTTTTTACACCAGTATGTTACTCAATTTTTTAATCAAATTGTACATTTCCTATTACATGCATTACCTGCCATTGTGAATGTCCCCGTGATGGCCCACCCTGGCTTCCTGAGAAGTTGTAAATAACATGGATGACTCTGTAGTGGGCTCCCTTTGTTGAGATGTCTTTTAAGGAATTTTGGGTTTCAGTCATACCCATCAACTTTGTATTTTTAAGGGCTTGCAACACGGGAGGAGGAGGAAAAAGTCCCATGATAAACTCCTTGTGTCCAAAACTAAGCCCTAGCAAAGTTCAGACAGAATGCAATTCCAGTAGCTCAGGAGGATACTCAGCAGTCTCCTTTCACAGTCTAGTACGCTGTGCTAGTGTACCATGCCCCTCCTGGGAGAGTCCCCGTATGAATGCAAGGAATATGATGGCATACAAATGTTGCACAGTACTGTGTTCTTCAGCTAGGGGCAGCTTTGAAAAGATAATGCAATATATTTATTAATTAGCACTAAAATTAACATCTCAGTTATCAGCATTAGGATTTCTGAGGACTATTATGGGTCAAACCTGAGAAGATAAATCAGTGCCTTGCTAGCCAGGGATAAGTTCACTAGTTCTATCAACAGTGCTCAAGGTTACTTCTGCTGGTGGAAAAGTGTTAGTCACACTGCCTTACTCTCCTCTGACAATCGGTTGGCTCACCCCCCACCCTCCACCCCCTTCTCTCTTTTATAAGTCGGGGAAGATATATTTGGCACCACATCTCGAAGCTATAAACTTTGTATTTCCCAGATTACTTTACGAGGAATTGCTGAATATTCACGTTGGGATAAAATTTAAATGATATGTAATGGGACTAAATGGCCAACTAAGCCACTGTTCCTTTTCCTTCCTCTGGCAGGGCACTCGAACCATTCCAAAGTCAAAAACTGGACTGAAGCTAATTTGTACTTTTCATAATATACATTCTGCTTCTGGCTTACTTTCTTGGTACATTACATCAGTATATTAATTGTACAGTTTATTGTATAGTATTTAACCACTGAATTTCTTATTTTATGTTGTGCTATGTGAACTCCTTGGTGAAGGTCCAATTTTCCTTGGATAATGTGTAGTTATATATGATCTCTTTTTAAATGTACAGATATTTTGCTATAAGATTGGTGCAGTTTTTTATGGTTTTTACACTTCTTTAATTCCCACCTAAGCCTCTGGGTAATATTGTAAATATTGTTTAAAAATGCATCGGCCTATGCTATACAATCTGAATGTTATTTTAACTTATAGTTTTTTTAATATATATATTTAACTACAAGGACAGTTTAGAGATCAGTTATCACATTTCACTTTAGCATATCTATTTACAGAAAGATTGCTTTTAAACTGCCACCTGCCAGCAAATTTTCATAAATGTGTACTTTAAAAAGAACATGCCAAGATTGTTTTTCTATTGACTCAACATTCATTTTGACGATATCATGATACACAATACAAATTGTTGGCCCTTTACCACAAGCAGCTGTTACCCAAAGCTCAATGCTGATGAGCACATTAAAATAATTACTATTTATTAATCTCCAAGTAGACAATGTTGGCATGTTCTTTTCTATTTGTCTATTAATAGGCCTGCTTCTTAGCAATATTAGAAATGTTTTATAAAAGCAGTTCATGTTACTTTCCTGGTCTTTTCATGGCATATGAGCAAATAAACTATTTACACCACTACTATCCTGTAACATGTTGTCTTTCAATGGTATACTTTAAGGGTTTTGCCAGTTATCTTCTAGAAAGAGGTCTTGGTGCTTAAACTCAGAATCTAAATAAATGTATTTGGTAAATTTAGTAAAATCCCTTCCTGTACACTCTTGAGCACTTGCTGTAGGGGACAAAGTAACCACTTAGATTTGGGTGAGGGATACAGTTCCCAAATCACATTTATTCATTCCAGTTAACACTGTAAAGTTTAGTTTATTATTTTTAGCATATTCTTAAGGAAGAAGCAAGAAGATTTAGTATTTCAGAGAACTGGCTTGAAGATACTTTAGAGGAGTGTAAATTAGTCATTTAAATTGTTACATTAGGTCTTTGTTCCCAACTTGGTGCCCTTTCTCCTGTACCAGGAAAGCCGAAGCTTCACTTTATAAAGGGGAGGGGAGAGTTCAAGCCTGCAGTTAGCCAGGCTTTGCGGTTTGTTTTGTTGCAGGGCAAAGTGCTTCATGGTAAAAAAAAAAAAAAAAAAAAATAATTATATATATATATATATATACATACACATACATACACACACACACACACACACACACACACACACACACACACGTATATAGTCCTTAATATTGTACAAATTCAGGTCTTCAAACCCAAATTTCAATGGTAAGTTCAAATGAGGCCAGATAGGGCTAGGTTTAAGGGTACCTATGTACCAGTAGCATCCATTTTTTAAAATGTTGACCAGTGACCCAGAACTAAACTCCCTTGTTCCCACTTTCAAATCACTAGCTAAACTCAGGCCTAATCCATTAATATTCACTGCAGTGAGTGTTCAGTGACCCTCCTGACTCAGCAGTGCTCTGCAGAGTGGTGTGACATCCACCATAAGATCTGCTGGATCAGCACAGAATTTTATAGAGCTACCTACTTTTGTACTGGAAATTATGCCTTTATAATATTTACAATTCACACATCTATTGATTTTAATACTTGGTAACTCTTCTTAGCTTGTATCAGAAATGTCTGCAGAGATGAATCTATCATCATCCCAGTTCATAAAAAAAGAATATATTAGTTTCCCATTTCTCTTAAACCTAATACCCCATCTATTTCCAAAAAAAAATTTGAAGCCAAAACAAATGCATTATGAAGTATTAAGATACATTTTTGATCTTTTTTACAGAGAAAAGCAGGCATTACACTGAGAAAACAGAACGTGGGCATCTAGCATCTCACAGCACAGAACTGCTGCATGAGGGGTGCCTGAAGGTAAAAGTTGACACAAAAACAACTTATTTAGTAAGAGATGTCATTGTTTTCTAATAAATTATATTTATTTACAAAAGGTCTAATTTTATATAATTGAAATTCTTTACATCAGGACAATATAGAAACAAGAGAAAACCTGATAATTACAAACACAGAACATAGAAACCTTGTTCCCCTATTACTCACCTTTTCAGAACAAGTCTTCAGTTTATTTGGAGAGGTAAGCAAGAGACCAGTACCTACCAAAAGTTAGCAGGCACAACTAAAGGAAACGATGTTTATAAATAGCACATTTAGATACCCCAAGGAACAGCATAAAAGGGCATCAAGAAATGGCTTAATTTGAAAAAAATCAGAAGTGGCTTCGTCTGAATCTGATTAGGCAGTCATTCTGTTTCACAGTCTATAATAAAAAATGGGTGGGGGGAGTTTTAACTAGCTGCCCTGAAATGCAAACATCAACCTTACACCTAGGGCAAATGCCATTAAATTCAGTTATCAATCACTCACTATGGGATGTCTTTGAACTAGATCCTACTGAGTCACAAAAGCAGTTTTTATATAGCAAGTTTAAAAAGTAATCTGCAGTTAAGGAATTTAGGTCAGGTAGACAAGTGAAGTAAAATGGAGGGCTAGGGAAATGTAACAGGAGCAAAATCTTACTTTCCACCAACCATTAAGTCAGCTCCAATAACATTGCATACCTGTCATGTCACCATTATTTACTCCTTTGTCAAAAATAGCCTGAAAATATTAGTTCTCAGCTTATAATTAAAATAGGAAGTTTGCTATTGTATCCCTTCGAGTTTTAAAGATCCAAGTGATCTATCATAGCTAAACGTTAATTCTTCAAATAAATTATACTTTAAAAAATCACATGGAAGATCTATGTTCTGACAATCTTTTGAACGTTTCTGAAGTAACGGTTAAGATACAATCACTAAAACTCATGTTCAGTGCACTTTAGTTGTGTATGTGGCTTTAGTCATAGGTTAGGTTGGTTTATTGCAAAGATGCTTTTTCAAGCCCTTAATAGAGATGGTCGGTACCGTGTATACTGGCTGAATACATCTATCAATATGTTACATTCATTCAATAGATGCCTACTATGTGCTAATCCACAGAATACAGCAGCGAATGAAACTTAAATAGGAACTAGACCACCCCTGAAAACAAAACAATTGAAAACTTAGAGCAAGGTAAGCATTAATAAGGGAAGTAATTACTACACTGGTATTCAAAACCATAGAATAAGATGAGCCTATTGTTATAAACCTATTCCAACAGTTCCATGAAAATCATTCGATTTTATTTTGTTTCCTTTCTGTGAAATCAGTGCAATTTTACCTAGAGAATGTAATAGAATTAAAACTCTACCTCATACTGAGAGAGATACATCCCTAAGGGAAAAGTCTCACATTGAAGATATTGGGAATTAATGTGCTTTTCCTCCTTTTGCTTTTAGAAATGTTTTAGTTATTTACTTTTATAAACCACACAATATACTTAAATATCCTATAAACTTTAAAAACAGCATTCATTACTTTTCTCTGGGTCCTATTTGATTAGAAACCATTCTCTCTCCTAAATAACATCTAGGTTTAAAAAAAAAATCTTTACATAAAAGGGACTACATTTTTTTATGCAAAAATTAAGCATCTGCCTAGTCAACACTAAATTGACCATACCAGAAGCAGCTAATGCTGCTTACAAAGTCCTTTGTTAACAATGAAAACTGGACCTTCTTCCCGGAAAAAATGTACACAAATGTTTCAGGAGACTTTAGTCTCTTCACTATGAATTAAGACTGCCTTACTCTAGGCCAGGAGGGAGAACGTCTGGCCACAAGGCCTCAAGTCTATGAAATCATGAAGGCATTAGGGGTGAATTAATTAAATGTTTGGCCAAATATATATAGTATTATGAGAGACCCATTGTTGAAAAACATGAATAATCTATGTGCTGAAGCTACTTTTGGGTAATAATAAAATGTCATCACTATGTTTAAAAAAGGGGGGGACGACTTTTTTTTATTTATTTGAAAGTAATTATTTAAATAACATTTGGTAAAAGTACAATGAATTCTTCATCCTTCATTGCTTCAATTAACTTTTCACACAAATTCAGTTTTCCCACATAGAGATTATATAGACTGGGTGAGAATAAAAACATCAAATACTCAAAGTTCCCATTTTTACGATTAAATATATTAAATGTATTAGTGAATTTAATCCAATAATTCATTAATACTGAGGGAAGATGAACCCTCAACATTTGCCTTATTCTAAGAATTAAAAATATACATTCCCCCTTATCTGAAAATGCTTTTCTGTTTGAACACATTTGTTCAAACCCTATCAAACTGTTTCAACACCAATTATAATTACAAGACATTTCAGCTTTTACAACCTGAATCTTTAACTGGTTAAAAAGTCACAGAACTCGTTTTAACAAAATCTTCCCATCATCTGTGCTTTCAGACTGGACAATATCTTTTTAGCAACTAAATCTCTTTTGATAGGATAATCAAAGGGTAGTAGACAAGGATTTTACTCACTTTAATAGCATCTTTTTAACAAGATGTTATATTTAGAGCTGTAATCTGTTCACTAGTTTTGTTTTAGGTTAAATAATTTTCATGGGTGAACTATAGGGAAACATGAATTTGTGTTGTCCTATAGGGATCTGAGGTTGTGACAGAAGTGCAGAAATTTATTTGAGGACATGCTAAAACACATCAATAGCCTTTTATTTAAATAGAAAGATCAAAACTTTAAAGTTGTACTTAAAAAATCATTCATAGAATTAAAACATTTTGCAGATTCTAAATTCTCTTGTGAAACATCCCTAGTATTTCTGCCAATATCATATGCTTAAAGATTTTACTTCCTTCCTGACAAGTGTTAGACATGATTGGCAGTACTATCATTATAGTGGAACCTCTGAAAACTAAATCTAGATGAATTCCTGATTAATAAATTATGTTTTGGTTCTAATATACAATAGGATTCTCAAGCAAGCAACTTGGTTACTTCCCATTTTCTAAAAATAATGGTCCTCACTTTCTACAAAGTATGTCACATTTCACAGCAGAAAAATGACTTGGCAGAGAGAGACGTTTAGAAACAACACCCTCTCCCCCTTATTTTTGAAGCATTCAACAGTGGACAAATTTAACTAAAATAGGGAGCAGAGATAGGAATCATCTTTTCAAATTCGCTAAGATGAAGAAGAAAAATATAAAATGAACCTTTTGCTCTTTTAAATCCCAACTTGAAATAGTATCAGTCCTAATATACCAAAGACTATGAATTTGTGTTGTCCTATATTTTTAATTGTTTTACTATTAAAAAAAAAAAATCCTGCACTGAAGAAATATAGTATAAATTACATTACTAACCCTGAAAAGTTAGCAGGTAAAAGTATTTTAACTTTTTAAAAAATACATTTTTATTGACTTCAGAGAGGAAAGAAAAGGGAGACACAGAAACAATGATCAGAATCGTTGATCAGCTGCCTCCTGCATACCCCTATTGGGAATTGAGCCTGAAACCCAGGCATATGCCCTTGAATGGAATCAAACTCAGGACCCTTCAGTCCACAGGCCGATGCTCTATGCACTGAGCCAAACCAGGCAGGGTAAGGTATTCTAACTTTAAACCATCGCCTCTCTAAATATTCCATAGCAATTCAAAGATCAAAAACAAATATAGGGGCCACAAATGCACTGATTCTAATTTAAAAAGAAAGTGACTTAGCTGTGTGGGCAAGAGGAAGCAAAATTTAAGGAATTTAGTTTATCTTTAAATTATCATACAACTTTTTTTTAGAGCTGAACAGTTTACGTAGAAATAAATACTAGTACACACTAGAAGAGAAGGTTTAATAATTGATAAAAATGTACAAAAATATTCAAATCAGAAATGCTTTAGAATGTGTATCATGAAGTCAATACTTCTCAGTGAGTAGGGAAGGTAAAAGACTTCCTTGATGAAAAAAGCAAGAGAAAAGTCCGATAAAAAAAAAAAAAAAGACAACTGTTAAAATGCTGGAGTCAACATTGATTTTTGTTTTAGACAAGGATATTGTTTTAGACAAGGATATTGCATCTATCACTTGGTGGCACATTCTTTAGTAGGTCCTTAAGGCAATATATTTAAACTAATTTACAATTTGATTTAATGTTGTTTTAAAACATCACCTCAAAATAATGCCCTCACAATAGCCTTTTTAAAACGTATTCAGATGTTTCATAAAAAATAATGGTGGCTTTATTATAGTAGTGCTCACTAGCACCACTATAGTTAAGGGTCTACCAGGTTTCCATTAAGAACACCTATTTGTGGGTTCACAATAGAAGATCAGATTAGTTTCAAACAGTTGGGAAGTGCACAAAAAAGCAATTTTATCAGTTGCTGGTGCTTTTTTTCTTTTGTATGACTAAATATCAAAAAGGTTTCATATCTTCAAAATCCAACTTCCATAAAGAAAATGCAATCACCTTAATGACAGACTTTAGAAGAAAGAGACACCTGCAGTTATCGGTAAATTGCCACCTTTAATCCACCCTGCAGTGCCCTATGAAAGGGTCACAGGAAAACAGTTATGACCGTATGAAAATAAGATTCTTAATACAGAATCAAAAGTTATTTTCAATTGCCTTTGCTTTTATAAAGTTCACATAACAATACCTAAATGCACTTTTTTTCCTGTGATATAATTAAAACCCAGTGTTATTTCAACTGAACTTAAAATAGAGTCCCTGGTCTGAATTAGACTTTAAATCATACTGTAAACATATATTTGGTATAATTTATTGATCATCATCCAGTTGCTCCAAAAGGGTCCTTCTGCGCTTTTCCAATTCTCCTTCACTCAGTTCACTGCCAGAAGTATCCCAATTACCCTGAAAAGACAGTGAATACGATTACATTTCATGGTAGTACTCAAAAGTAAGCTTAAGTAGTAATGAACTTTTGAAAAAGGAATTCAAAATGAATTCTTTCACAGAAACAGTTACAGCACATAGTTTAAAGACTTACTACCTCTATCCCAAGAACCTATCAATGGGTTGCTTACTAAGAATATATATGCCTTTGTTATATTAGGAGAGATCCTTAGAACGAGATTTTTACGTGTTTTTACTTAACATTAATATATGAATTGGGGACAATGGTATATGTTTCTTTTCCTTCCCCTTACACAACTGATTACAAGACATCCTGTTTCCATTAATGGAAGTCAGGGACTCATTTCCCAGGCACTATATTCCTTGCTTATTTTGCACATTTTAAGTTGCCCTATGAGTGTTTTATATTACAAAAAAGTATGCTTCATGCAAGCATTCATGAACAACATAAGACTTAGGCTGAAGAAAATATTCAAAAGATAATACTGCATTATTTGTGATAAATAATCTTTGGAAAGTATAGTTCATTTTTCTTTCTCTTCAGCGATTTCATTTAACCTAAAGGTTAAGGAAGAATAAACTGTTAAAAGCTGTTAATAGTTCTAAAGGAAACATTCATTTTTCATCAAGGACGTGCATCAGATTCACCAGTGCAGCCTTTTAAAAAGCAAAACAAAAACAAAAAACCTCCACCCTATATAGCAAATTAATCAGAATATGCAGAGGGAGAGCCAGGAGCTTGTCTAAAAAACTGAAACTCCACTGGTAAATCAGAGGCATTACCCTTGCTAAGCCCCTAGAATTTGTGGGAGGAATGGCAAGGATGAGGAGGTTTGTTATTGTGCTGTCATTGTGCACACATACATCCATATGGGAAAATAAAGAGCAATTTGATATTAATTTTGGCTTGTAGTCCCCTCCTATCAATTTGCTCTCACACTTCTTTCTCAATAATTTTTTCAAAAGATTATAGGAATGCTACCCTTTGAAATCAGACTTAGAAACAATGACAACTGAATATTTGGAGGGAGAACCATTAATTTCTCTCTCTTAAATTTTATATTCCTTAAATCAGGTACAAAATATCCAGTGGCACTTCTTAGTGAGAATGCACAAAGCAGATCATATCCTCCTTTTTTTTTTTTTTTTTTTTACTTAAGTTCTTCCTGTTTATTATTTTAAATCCTTTGCTGAGAAAGAAAAACAGATCAGCTGCCTTCTAAATGTGCCCTGGGGATCGAATCCAGAGCCCAGATCATGATTCAAACCAGCAACCTTTCAGTGGATAGGACAACACTCAACCAACTGAGTCACTCTGGCCAAGCATTATTTCCTTTCTCAGTGAGCATTACATAGCTACTTTTTTTTTTTTTTTAAAGTAATGTAAAACTTATGACCACATACACTAGAAAACTATTTTTGTGTGAAAGTTAACCGAACTTTCATTGTTTTCTTTAAACACCCTTAGTTTTAACCATTGTCTTCATTTATGCATTTTGAAAATATAGGTATGAAATAATTCTAAGTACTTACAGAAGAATCCTTTCCAGTCTTTTTCTTAGGTGATTTGTGTTTTGACTCTGATCTTTGTCTAGTTCTGTCTTTTTCACTTTCCCGGTCTTTTTCTTTCTTATCCTTCTCTCGCTCAGCATCTGACTCCGGAGAATCCTGTGTAAAAAATCAGGTATAACAG